TCGTGGTACTGGGTGGTCAACAGGCAAACTAAGCAGCTTATAACTAAAGGCCACTATGGGTTATATCTTGAGAATCAGCCCATTCTTGAGGATCCAAACCAAACAGCACTCATGACAGCACAATACAAACTACAAGATGGGTCTTGGTTCAGACTTGGGCTTTTTTCCCCTTACGCTTGATTTATTAAGATACAATTTCCTCACATGGTGTTTTACTCATATCCTGTCACTCATCTCAATTATTTATTTCCTTTCTCTTAAACTACATCTGGACCTCATGCGGTGATGAGCTGACTGAGCACTTGAAGATCAAACCAGACAAGAAGTCCTTTACCTCCCGCCATTTATAAGACTGTGAGTGTGATGTCACGGTGTCACCCTCCAGAACTCCCACAACGATGTTGGTGTCATTGATTATGAATGATGAGTGACATTTCAACCATTCCCGCCCAAGATGCAGCCCAGACGCTGGTGCAGGCGGTGGTCACCTCCGCATCACATTACTTCACCTTACTGGCTGGACTTGCTCTGCAGACAGTCAGCCTCCCCCCAATACGATAATGCTAGCATATCAGGACAACAACGAAGAGACGCCTGTCTGCTCCAGGCTATGGTGATGTTAAAACCATGTGCTGTAATTAAATTTATTTAATGTACTCCTCACTTAAAGTGTAATTATCAAAGGTCCACCCAAAAATGTGTAATATGTAAACAATGTTTTTGTGTAAACTCCATCCTAAGTAGCTACTTTAGCTACTAGCTAGTAGTGCTATCTTTTACTTTTGTGATAACACAAAACTAATGTCTTAGCTAGCAAAAACTTAATGTCACTGTAGCATCAAAAGCTGTAGTATAGTTTCCAGTAGTTTTAGCAGGTCAAGCAATATATGAAATGACAGTCCTTTGCAAATGTAGAAAGGACTTTGTTTTGCATACGCAGAAATATGTTTTTTATATGAGTTATTTAATGTTATTTAGTCATGTAATGGGGTCATAGCAGTACAAGCTAACTTTCTGTTGGTTCAGTTAGCTACGAAACAGCTGCACCTGGCATTTACTGGGTGTAACTATTAAATAACGACAAACCTCTGTTTAAGAGATTATTACCTCTACATTTATCTTCATTAGTTCCACATACTGTACTTTCTTTTTTAGGACTGACACTCCTTTAACCAATTATTCTTTCAAGTCAGTTAGCTCGCTAGCTACGAACATAACAACAGAGGTCAAGGGAATTGATAAAAACAGATTACCACAGGAATATATGGTGATAGATAAATGTGCGACAATGACATTCATTCTAACAATTATTTATATTACCCTTTTTTTGAATGTGATAAGCTTATCTGGTGCCAGAGTTTCCCCAGACAAAGACTTGGTGGTAGATTCTGCCAACAGATTGTTTGTGGTTGTAACTGTCTCACAACCACAACAATCAAGAGCTTTTAGCTTTAATTGGAGATCCTCAGCTGCCAGCAGACTATTGATGCAGTGTGTAACTCCCAGATGTAAATGGGTGTAACCACGTGTGAAGTGGGGTGTTACTGAGAAAGAGCATGTGCATGAGACACATTACAGTCACCTTTCCCCGGATATGTGGATCCTGTCAGTATGTCTTAAAGTCGCCCTGAGGGGGGAACTGAGTATTTATTTCACAGAGAGCAGGAAAGCTGTAAATCTCATCTAATGAAGTAATCGCTAAACCTTTTTCATCAATCAGAAAAATGTATAAAACTCTGGCACACCTGCCTTATTATGATGATTTTTGTGGGGGAGGTTAGCACATGCCAAACTATCCATTTAACGTTTAAATATTATATCTCTTTCACCTTTCCGACAAATTAAGTATCAGATTCCTGTCGTCAAAACGTGTAAATCTTTCACGATCCTTTCCAACCCCGTGGACTGAGACGACCACAGCTCTGGCTCCAACTCAAGGCTCCATGGTCCTTGATGTTTTGCTTTCCTAAAGCGGTGGAGATGTCTTGATGAGGATTTCCGCTGAAAGAGCTGTTGAATTTCTCCCCTGTGAGTTGGGCGGCGTCCCCCTCCCCCGGGGGGCGACCTCCCACACTGAACAATGTTGACACATTATGAGATATTTCCTTTGATTCCCTCACTTTCCCTTAAACTGTGTCTGTGTGTCTCACATGCGAATATGCGCCCACTTACCCCCTCACCCTCCATTCATCTATTCGACATATTGAACTTTTATTCTCTTTTGACCACTTCCTTTTCATTGACGTCCCCTCAATTACCTTTTCAATCTCCTCTGCCTTTTCAACTCCCTCAGAAACCTGGAATTCTTTGGCTTACTGCTCCCTTAAAATGTGCAATTACCATTGTTTTCATTTTTAAATATCGACTCATTTTGGTCAGGATACAATTATAATTAGGATATCCTTTGGCACTTGCCAGTAATAAGTCAAATTTGATGATTTCCCCTTCACGTTTCAAACAGAGCTGGAAGGCTTTTTCCGAGCCCAGAGTTTATGTCAGTGGATGTTTGGCATCGCAGCCATGGTGATGGATTTGAGGCCCTTCTCAAAAACAACATGGCTTACCTTTAATCGTGGCAGTCCACTTTACACATTAGCACAATCAATTTAATTGGGGAAATAGCTGAACGAGAGGTGACATCAAAGACGCAGGCGAACAGCCCGACGCATGCAATCACCCAGCATCCATTGCTGCCCCTGGACAGGGCTGTGCGTCACGGTGGCTGCAGTGGAAAATGTGAATCGTTCACAATGCCTTGTAATGTAGAGAGAGGTCTTTGAGGCCTGCCAAACTGCATCACTGTGCCCATTTGTCTTGGTGGTGTTTTTCATGTTACTTTGGGGGTCATGGAGCTCCAGCATGTGACTCCACATCAGGAGCAGAGATGTTTATCCACATCCATGTGGTTGGACACAGTATGAAACAATCTGCAGCTTTTATGGTTTTACCAGCCAGATTCTCTTGTGTCACATTCTCCTTTCTTACATCCAGGTTAGGACAAGGTCAGACCAGACCGCAGGTTTGAGTCCCAATTACTGTATAATGCCGTTCTTTGTAAATCTATACAATACACACACTGCCATGTAACACGCGTCTATGGGTCACACCTTGTTCGTGCCCTCAGCCTGTAACCCTTTTAAGAGGTATAAGTGCAGGAACTGGAGCTTTTTATGTTTTGCAGAAAGCAGAGTTGATCTGGAGTAAGAAATGATTGGTGAGGTAAACCAAGCAGTATTCATTGTTTTGTTTTTTATGGCCACTTGGCAAAAGTGGGCAGCAGGACAAGCTGTAAACACACAGTTACACAGCTGATGTGTCTAAAATGTGAGCCACTCTTCTTGTCCCTCTGTTTTGTTCTCCACCAACTTCACAGAAATATATCTGATGCTTTAGCTGCTAATTCGACACTATCTTTGTCAGCTGCTAGCTAATGTTGTGACAGCACAGCCGACAGCTGGTTTATTGGAGCTAAAAAACAACAGCAGCCTACTACCGTTGGAAACGAGCTGCTGAGAGTGAACCAAACCAATAAAGCTGCAGGCTGTAAAACAAATAGCTGAGAGATGCTAAAACACTCTGTAGAACTGAGGAAAACTGCTGGTTCATTTCTATAAGTGAGTCCTTCAACATTATAATAAATCATGTGACCCATTGTAAACATAAAAAATATTGATTAACACAGCTTTGATTAGTGGCAAATTTTATTGCTAAGTAATGACAGATAAACACAGATGAATAATGTCACAGTGTCTGAAGCAGGAGACTAATCTACGGTAGCCAGAGCGCTGTTTTCTTATGTTCATTGAAATTTGGAGAAATTGTCCAAACAAACTGAGATAAAAATAACTTTAAAAAACCGTAACGACTCCACGCCTGCCATGAAGAAGAAGCATCTCTGATAAGTTTTTCACTAATATAACAACAAAAGTCTCCTCTCTTTTTTTAACATCATGCTTTTCGTTGCAACCCGTTATTGACTCAACACAACACTTGGCACCGTTAACAGTGGCTCGACTCCAGCATGTTCATCTGTGGTGAAGGACCAGTTAGCACTCGATGAAATGTTCCCCGGTGTGTGCAGTCACGCACCTACAAGGCTGTAACAACACAATGCAACTGCAAACAATCACATTTGCACGTTCTGTATGCTAAGTCCGACGGTGAAAAGGGCGATCCACACCCTCCGATCCAAACAATTTACATATATTAAACATGATTCAGGCCTTACACACTGAGTGCTGGCTTTAAAGTATGTAAATTGCACGGATCCAAATGTAAGGAAGGTCTTTTCTCACACACACAACATGTAGTAGTGTGATTTAAATTCTTTTAACTTTTTGCATATTCCACAACTCATCCTGCAACCTGTAACCTCCCACCCCCCACGTCGGACTTGAGGACAACAGGGCGACAGTGATGTCAGCAGAAAATCCTTCCCCACCCTGTCTTACACTCATCAGTCATCAGCACGTGCAGCGACCTTAGCAGAGGCTGTAGAGGTCACGACCACGCTGTCCATCTCTGTTACCACGTTCATGCATAAACACAGGCCAGTGTATGGGTGTGCAGGTCCGTCAGGGCGATTACACGCACACGGAACAACACACACACATACACACATGCGCACACGCACAGCCTCGTGCCGACTCCTCTGGCATAATTAGAAACATTTGGGATCATTTGCAAAAGGAACACGAGCTCTGATGGGATCCAGATGCACTACTAGGTTTCACCGAAATACAGGAACCCTTATTTACGAGGGGCCATTACTGGCTCCTCACCCAGGGAGGTGTGTGTGTGTGTGTGTGTGTGTGTGTGACTGTACGTGTACGTACTTCTTGTTTTGTCCAGATACTAAATGAATGTTTGGATGTGTGGATCATCCATATTCAGGTCTCTGACTCAGACTCGGTTTAATGGCATTTGTTTTTTTGAGAAAATGACAGGAAATGAAAAGAAAGAAGTTAAAGAAGTTACCATACAGAAAAAAAACCCTTTAATGATATAAAAATGGCATTCACAGTTTTTATGTCATGTATTTCTACATACAAGTGAAGTGCTTATTTAGTAAACAAGTGCATTCTCAGTGGTATTCTGCATATCTGTAATGTTTTTGTGTCCTTGCAAAACTCTTTCTTCCTCTTTTATTGTCATCCGAATTTCTTTAGTTTTGCTTTCCTGTGGAGGAAAAACATGAAATGCTGTTAATTGAGGAATTAGACCCAACAGTAACTAACTGTTACTGATTGCAGAACAGAGAGGACCAGTGTTGTTACTTGCAGCGTTATGCTGCCACCTTGTGGCTAATATAGGAAGAGTCATTAGAAGTCATTGAAGGTTGTTGCTGCCTTGATGTGGTTATATTGAAATGAGAAAATGGTTAGGTTGTGGTTCAGATGTGGTTGGGATCAGGTGAGCTTCTGATGTGGTCGTTAGGGTAAAAATATGGACTGGATTTCTGTCTCTGCTCATAAATGTGGAAGGATCCCGTTCATTCATTCATTCATTGATACTGTTTTAATGTAACTGAACACACCAAGAGCCAGTGTGACAGATTTTCCTATTTTCATCAGCGAAACACAGAAGTCCTCAGTGAACCAGGTGCCGTTGCTGCTGTGCTGTTTTATCTGTATGGAAACTTTGATCTGGTCTGGGTGTAGCAGCACAGGTCTTCCTGACACAGTAAATATTTTAAAATAAAACGCTGTTAAATCTTTCTGCAGTTGTGTGGGAATTGCAAAAAGTTGTGTCATTTCTTCATACTGCAAATACTGGGCTCCGGCTAGTGATATTACATCAGACCCCTCCCATGTTTTATCTGGAGAGTATCAGCTTTCGACATCAAACAGAAGAAGAAGTCCTGCAGGCTAGACTGAACAGAGTACAGGACTCTTTTGTTCCCCAGTCTGTCAAACTGTTAAACCAGAATTTGGTCTGTTGACAGGACAGGAGTCAGATTACACACCGGGCTCTGGTGCATTGCACCCGGCTAATGTGCCTTTTTTTTTTCTTTTAAGATCTGTGAAGGCTGAACAGGAAGTACTGATTATGAAGGCAAGTGATAAAACTAATAGAGCTGATGCTGCTTGGTTGCAGGATAATGTCTGATGTAATGTAGTGTCTGGTTGTCTGATTGCATGCTGTGTTCTGTTATGTGCTGTAAGACATCGTTATAAGGGGAAGTCAAATCAAATCAATGGTTTGTTTTCTACATGAAATGAACATAGAAATCAAAGAAAATGATTAAATAAAAAACCACCTCATATCCAGAATTGTCATTATATTTTCTTGTTATCCAGCCACTCACCTTTTTATCCAGCTAGTCTCTTCACAAGCCTTCAGGGTTTCACAAACTACTACCACCCTCAGTGCTTTCCTGGTCCATGTTGGTTTCTTCAGTCTGCCTGTAAAACCAACAAGACAAAACATGTGTGAATGTGTGTGTGTGTGTGTGTGTGTCCCTGTCTAGTTTGTTAGTTAGAGCGAAGCACTAACACGGGACAGAATCTGATTTCCATTTGTTTCTGATAATGTTATGTATCCTCTCATAATCTTATTAGTAATATTTAATATTAATATTTTGTTGTCTACCACGTCATGCTGTGTCGCCCTGAGTCGCATCATGTCAGGTCTCAGCATGTTGAGTAAGATTTATCCCTCTGTTTTACTGCACAGCATTAACTAGACGTCCCAGTGTCTTTGTGACAAAGACAGAAAGGTGAAAACAGGATCAGACATGACAACGCACACACGCAGTATACAGACCTGTCACAACATGTCCTGTCAAATCACATCACATCATGTCACATGGTGGAACATCACTGACCTTTCTGCAGGGTTTGCATCGATTGATAAGATCAGCTTAATGCTCCTGCGCTCTGATCGGAACAGCCTCATCGGCCGCTTCTCCGTCGGTCCAACATCACTCATGTGCCAGTGAGCTGATCGATGGAAGGCAGGATCCCTACAGAAAAACACACGGACAGATGAGTAGAGTAGAGAATGTGTGTGTGTGTGTGTGTGTGTGTGTCTTTACCGGGGGCAGGCCGATAGAGAGTCAGTTGAACCTCAGGTGGTGAAGTCTTGAACAGCCTCAGCACCTTCTGCAGAGATAAGAAATAACTGTTAACAGAGCTTTAGATGATAATATAATGAAGCTGCTGTTTGTACCGGGTATTTAATATCTTTAAAATGCATGATTTTCATGCTCAGGAAATTACAAACATTTAGTAGAAATTGTGTATTTCCATCCATATTTATATAGAATATGGTCAGAATATTGGATCAGTTCGGGATAAAGAACCGGTGCACTGATTCCTGCGATATGAACGAGTATTTATATTCAAGTGTCATAAAGGTGCCACTTACAGATTAGCTTCACGTTAACTTCAGCGGCCGGAAGAAATCAAATTCGAAAGCAAGCCAACACATTGAACTGTGTGTGTATCAAACGCAAGACGTCACATGCTGAGATCTCATACGCTGATGAGCTACGTCAAATGTCTTCAATGTAAACATATACCATAATCTACATTCATCCGAGTCATGCAATAATACTACAAGGCAACTTTAAACAACTCTGCATCCCTTGCCCATGGAAAATTATTAATAATAAAAATTATTTATAATACCAATAAAAGATTGGTTTAGTAACTCTATTATCAGTCATGTTAATTAACCTGTTCGTACTATTTTCAGCCTTTTGCCTGCACGGTGACCAGACAGCAGCCAAGCAACAATGCATAGCTCTGTTTTGCCCTTTACAACTCTAGAGCAACTCCAGCTCCTTGCAGCATAATCACATTATTACAGTATGCATTGTAACCAAGACCTTTACGAGGCTTAACCTGATTTAGAACAGCAGAGTCCGACAGGATACTTATTCCGGTTCCAAAGGTAAGATGATCTTCTAAGGTGAAAACCTGATGTGAACTGTTTGAAATCGGCACATACCGGATAGGACAGCTCCTTGACTGACTGGCCGTTCACGGCCAACAGGACGTCTCCCTCCTGGATCCTGCCGCTCTGCTGAGCCGGCTGGCCCGGGAAAAGCTGCTTTATCCGGACCAGGCTGCCAAAGTCCCGAGTGGGCGGATCTAGCTCGCACATGAGGAAGCTGAAGCCTAGCCCATTGGCGTTCTTGGTCAGGGTCACCTCCTGGATGTTGTCTGACAGTTTGGTAGTGATGAAGTGTACATGGACATAAAGGGGTGGATGGAGGGAGGGAAAAGAAAAGATAAATCTGATTATGTGAGGTTTAAACTTAAATATAAAAACGAATAAATTGCAAAAACAACCAAAAATTTACTGTTCAGTCATCCAGCTTGAGAAATGTATTATTAAATAAATGCAGAATTGGCATTCGGTGTATAGTCTTGGACCTTGTTACTCCACACAAGGATGCAACAAGGTCAACACAACAGGGGATTGGGGGAGTGACGATAATAACTTTCCCAATGGGAAAGTTAGACTCTTCCCCGTCTTAGCTTCGTCGAGCTTCCCTTAAAACCCACAAAGCTGCAGTGTGTTGTTTTGTGTGTGGACTAAACAAAGCAAATATCATGTCAATCAGTGAGATTTAGAGATGCCAAACCCCGTGTTGGACGCAGCCACACAACCGAGGTGCAGTTTGGGGTTTCAGTATTTTTGTCCCCAGAGAAAAAGATGTTGTCATCATAGGGAAATCATGAAATCAAGGTTTGTTTTTTCAAGAGTAAATGAAAAATATTCCCTCGTCAAAGTAAAGCCAAATTGTCACGTGCATGTCCTCTTCAGCCTCCCGAAGAGGACATGCGAGGATGAACTGAAAAAGAACAGTAGAATCAGTTTAATGTCATTGTGCTGAATAGAATTTTATCCAGTTCAACTGTTAAAATTAAAAAAATACACACAGTGTGTAATGGTACAGAAAAATGAGCGACAGTACGGGTCTGTGCAGAAATAGGCAGGAGGGACATTTTGAAGATCTAGATGTCAACAGAGACGGACTATTTCTGCCTCACATATCTTGTGTTAATGGTTGATGATGTTAAAGATGTCAACCTCTACACAGGAGGAAATCGACTCCGTATCACGTTCGAACTTTTGATCCACTGTGTGATTTTCAGCGGAAAGGACAGGGGGAGAGATGTGGGATGACGGATATAGAAAGACGGGCCGAAGGATAAGGAAGGCCAGGGGGATAAGAAGAGGAAGGTCGGGGTCAGTAAAGGGAGATCAGGATGAAAGAGGAGGGAAGTGTGTGAGAGTTCACCTTGAAGCAGTGAAGACTAGCCTGACTGCCTGGTCGGCTCTTAAAGACCAAACAGCTTAGAGTTGACAGGTTCTCTCACGAACGAACGTTCTCCCCCAGTATAGTGTGACGTGAAGTTTCCCAGAAAGACATAATGGCCTTTCTTTGTGTGTTTTGTGCACTTAAGTTAAAACCCAGTGGCCTGGCTGAAGTGTCCTACCATCAGTGACAAAGCTGTATTCCCTGGCCCGCTCACTGTTGGCGTTTGGAGAGGTGCTGACGGACGAGCAGCTGTTTTGTCTCGGCTGGCTGCTAGCTGGACCGGGGCTCTGACTGAACACGCCGCCTCTGTTGTCTGCACCGAGAGAAACCCGACGCACGTTCATCAGCTCCCTCTCCACAACCAAGCCTACCACCTAGAGGAGAGGAGAGGAGAGGAGAGGAGAGGAGGATGTGATTGGGAGGAGGCAGGAAACAGTCTGAGCAGGAAGTTACGGTTAATTAAACAACATTATCATCGCCTGAAATAAGTAATCATGGGTCTCTAATGGTCTTCTCACTTTACCTCTCCAGTTTTACTCAGACAGTCCACAGCCTGCTGATAGGTGAAGCCCTGGAAGCTGAACCCATCCACCTCCAACACTCTGTCACCTGCAACAGAAAAAGATGGGGACAAATAGACAAACAAAAAGATTCATTAAGCGTTAAAGATTTAATGTGTATTTATCTGAATGCTTAGATTCCTGCGTTGCTCTTATCGTTCCTTCTGCTTTGAAAGCATCGGGTAAATGCCAACACACCGAATTTCCCATCATAAGTGAGTGTTGAAAAAAAGCTGTCTACAAATCAAACACACCATTACCGTACCAGATTTATTTCCACAAGGACACACGCAGGCTGATATTGATATTGGAGCTGTAATACCTGTATGTACACGTCCGTCTCTCTCAGCAGCCCCTCCGGGGACGAGGCTCTTGATGTAGATTCCTCCATTAGGAAGGTTAGTGTTGACGCCACCCTGAACAATCAATGACGGAGGCTTTTAGTTCAACTTTCATCAGTGATATACTCATGGTAGGGAGGAAAAACACGGGTGTTTAATGCAGGGAATTATTGCACTTCTCACTGAGTTGCATCTCTCTGACATCAATATTTACTGGTTATTTTGCAGGTCAGGTGACACTTTACACACAGAATCCGATGCACTGTTACAGATCAAACTGCCCAAAGATGTATGAAGTTGTCAAGTTCAGCTATTTTTGAATAAGGCCACACGTGATAAATGGTTTATGAGCTGTGATGGCTTTATAGATATTAAATCATTTAGTAGGGCTCCATCCAAACACAGGTTGCAGTACAGCTCATAACGCAATGGTGATCAGTGGAGTAATACATACCTCTCTCTCTCTCTCTCTCGCTCTCTCTCTCTCTCTCTCTCTCTCTCGCTCGCTCTCTAAGGTTGTCAGACCACAGATCTTAATCAGATTGAGAGGGGCAGACTTTGTGACCCACTGCTGAAGAGGAGTTGCTCTTCTAATTGCGATTTTCGATTTTGCAGGCTTGGATGCCTAACCGATAATTTTGTGGACAGAAAACATAATTTGTTCCCCTTCCCTCATTGTCATATTATCTTCAAGATGAAAAGATGTCTGAAACAGCATCTACAGGGGAATACTAACAGTTCATTTCAATTCAACCCATAGAGGCTTTCACCATAAAGTCAAGCTTCCAGTATAAGTTTGATTTGTGTAGGTTAGCAGCTCCTACCTGCCCAGATACTGTTAAATGCAGTGACATCAGTGGGGGGCAATAATGTCTGGGCAATGGCAGATTTCTTCATTCTACCTTTGACAACATTAACAATAAGTGTAGTTTGTTTCAGTAATCAAATATCAAGCCAAGAAGGGAGATTTCACAGTGAATACAACTGGTGCACTATCACTTATCAGTCATTGCGATTACAAATATTTCATAAACTCACAGTGATGCTGATGCCCAGACTTCCTGCGACCTTGCTGAGCTCCACAGTGATCTCCTCCAGCTTCGCACAGTTTACAGGGGGAGACAGAGAGCAGCTGTCCTGAAACCAGCACACACAGAAACAGATAGTTCAGGCCTGAACAGAAAAAATAATTTAAAAAATCAAGCTTGTAACCTTGTTATATTTGACAGGCCACCGTCACTGAATAAAACACAGGAGTTATTGGAGATACAGTAGGTTCTTTGTATTGTTAACATTAATACTGACCTCTGAGTTTTAATCCTGGGTTTAAAAAAACAAAACAAAAAACACCTGAACCACCACCATGATTCTACCTGGGCGCTGAGGCCTCGGACTTCACAGGGGACGTTCAGCCTGTTGCCGGTCTTCGGCGTCATCATGACTGAAACCATCTCATCAAGGTTGTCCTCCCCTGATTGGGCATATGTCATCAGCGTGGCCTGGGAGTCACAATTCCTCAGCACAGGGGAGCGCACGCTGTTGGGACTGACGGAGACTGGAAGCAGAAATAACAACGTTAATGTTAAACCTCAAAAATAGCAGGAAAATAGGAAATCTTTAAAGTGTTCATACGCTGTAAGAGTAACCAACTATTCTTCCTCTTTTGTTGTCTGACGTGCGTTAAATGAACAGTCTTGCTGTGAGTTAGATGAGAAGACTGATACCGCTGCCAGCAGCCAGTTTAAATTAGCTAGCTGTTTCCCCTTGTTTTCAGTCTTTGTGCTAAGCTCAGCTATGTTTGTTGTCGCTTCAAGCTTTAGCGTATGGATACCAGAGTGGTATTGAGCTAATTCTTTCCCAGAATTTGAATCTGAATTGATCTGAGTCTAAAAGACCTGAAGAGAGTTTGCTGTATAGAGTTTTATTCATTTTTAAAGGAAGGAGTAGACATGCTACGGAAAATTAGCCTTGTGACACCTTTGGCTCTCCATCAGTCATGTGACCCGCAGTCCGCAGGTGACACTCGTCCAATGAGAATTTAGCGTTTAGTTGCCGCTGGAGTCAAGCTTCACCAGAAGCCCCTGTTTGAATGCTACTGTAAGCTAAAATAAGCTATGCTAAGCTAACTGGCTGTAGCTTCGTATCACCACATAAACAAGTTATGTTAATACTGTTAAACATTTGTATTTTTATGATGGAATTTGTCTGCACCCTTGAGGGTAAAATGAGTTCACAAAAGCTGACTTTTTGCAGAGGGACAAAAAGGTGGAAAAAAACAATGTAAAAACGCAACGAAATACATTATTGACATATTAATGCATAAGACAATGAACAGCTAAACAGTACAACTAGGAACACATGCTAAAAGAACAAAAAAGACACTGATCACCACTAAGAAGAGGAATGAATGCAGATCTAATTTTTACATTTTATTCATTCAGAGCAGGTGCATCAGTAGAATGAGCTAATTACTAAATCACCCATTACTCATGCAAACAAAGAAGGGTAAAGGTCACAGCCACACTATCCTCACACGCATACAGTAACCACACGCGCATACACAGAGAGAGAGAGAGAGAGCACCTTTTGGCTGTGAGATAATGAGCTGCACCTCCTCAGGGCTGCTCTGCATGACCTCTGCTGCCTCGCTAAAAGTGACGCCCTCCAGGCTGATGTGGTTCAGAGAGATCAGACGACCACCTGAGGACAAAGGTCATAGTCAAATGATGCTGGTGTCCAGTAACAGTGGGGAAGCGAAGACCCCCACCACCACTTCTGAACCCGCGTGTGACCCCGGTGGCCTATGATTGAGTCCCATAGACACCTCCCTGTACCCTCTCTGTCCTCATTTGCACTCTCCCACTACACGGTTTCTGCATCCACTGTCTTAAAAACAGCAGGAGGTGTTGGATGAATTCAAAATGAACCCCTCTTCACTATATAAGTTTGGAGTTTGCTCCAAAATTAGGTAAAAGTGACACCTACACTTGCAGAATAATTGAAAGCACTGAAGTAGAACGAATTAGAGCTGTTTTTAGAAAGAAAAAGAAAAACTGAACTCAAAAACTAGCTGCTACATTTATTATATTAATGTGTGATGAAGACAAAGCGAAAAGCAAAGTTCTACAGACGGTGAAAAGTGGAACTTACAGTGCACACAGTGTTGTTGCGGACAAAGCGCAAATGATCCACGTGATTATCTACCTGGTTTGATGCGTCCGTCCTTATCAGCTGGTCCACCAGGCACAATGGAAGCAATAAAGATGCCCAAATCATAACGGCCCACAGTGTCCTCTCCCACTATCACTATACCTGGGTGGGTGTAAAAGCAGAGAGAGCCTTTTCTTCAGTCATCACTTTTCTATAATATCATGATTTAGTAAAAAATCATGTGATAAAGTGTGATCAGCTTACCGAGGCCAAACTTTGGGTCTTTCTTTAAGGTAACACATAAGACTTCTCTCTCTGACGATGACCCCGTTTTAGTTGGTGTTTCTGTGAGATACATATTGAAAGAAAACATCAACATTAACTCACACTGTAGACATGTGACAGTCAACTGGAGCAATCCCCTAAAGCATGAGGCACCACCAACAGTTTCATTTTAGCGACTTTATGATGGAGCAAAGAATAATAGGCAACCAAATGAAATGCTTTTGGGAGGGAAGCTTGAGTGTTGAATACATGCCATGTAATGTAATTCTTACTAGAGTACTTATGGTACACTATCTGGCATGCACGAGTTATCGGCTAAGGAAGGTGAGCAGTACTCTTGGTTATACCAGACCTCGAGAACCAGACGGGGCTTCAGATCCACTCCTCTGAGAGAACGCTGGGGAACGTATACCAGTGCTGCTGCGCTGACTGCTGGAGCAGGTGCTGCAGGAGACACAGTGAGAAAACTATCTTCAGTGAATTTGTTATATCTTTCGGAAAGTCTGGAACGAATTGTTTCTCTATGAATAAATAAAGTTGTTCATGTTGCCAACAGCATCAAAGTGAAACAACTTCAAATGTAAGACGTTCTTTGTTTCTTTGCTGTAGTTTGTGGTTGTGGAAACTGCCGGATGAACTGTGTACCTCTGCTCGTTGAGGCTCTGGCGCTGCTGTTTGACGCGAGCCTCGATCCTGGCTGCGATGTCGTCACACAGCTTGGTTAGGGACTCATCCTGAGGCGTGTTCAGACCGCTGTCATCCTGTGGTGTCTCCGAGCACGAGAAGGACTTGAGCCGGCTGCTCTGAGCACGACACACAGCTGCGTACTGCACGATGTTCGACTCTGGGGAAAAAAAAGCAAAAGCAGAGAAATATGTAGTCTTCAGTAACTGGATGTTGGTTTTGCCTTTTCGTGAATGTCCTCTCCTTGTTGAGGAGTGACTGACCTGAGACCAGGCTCTGGCTGAGCTGGCGAGAGTTCATCTCATTGTTGAACTTGTGCTGGGCTGAACACAGGTTACAGAGGTATTTGGCTATCTTCGACCTTTCTGTGATGAAGATGTACTTCTTCTTGCTGCCACGGCTCTCGACTACAAATTTACGCCTCTGCGGGAAAAAGGAAGAAAAAGTTCCACATTTTTTATTTTGGATCCAATTTTATTTTGCAACTGATTTGAGTTTCATACACAAAACGGATTGAAATTACAATTTCTTCATTCCACTCACGTTAGAGGAGATGGTTGCCGTCTCCCTCCAGTAGAAAGTCTGACTGGTGGATCTGCAGCCATCTTTAATCTCAAAGACGATGAGTCCTTTGGCACAAACCCCGAGGATAATCTCTCCCTCTGAAGGCTTTTTCTCACGCATCACACGGTGGAACAACACGCCGTATTCAGGCAACTGCTGACACCCCTAACAATAGAAACAGAAAGTGGCAACAGTGCTTCATATGATACTAATTGTAGTCATGGTAATAAGTACAGCCTGTTCAACATCATTAGATGAAATTTTGCTTCTTTGCCACCTTGAGGAACTCGAGCTCTGATTCGTCACTGAGCATCTGAGCGTTGTTGGTATGAAGTCGTAGCAGCTCCTCCTGAACGTAAGGCAAGGCACGTTTCTCCATCACACTTTTGGAGACATACTGGTCAGGGCGGTAGTAGTTCCTACCATACACCTAAACACAACAGATCAAAATGATTTATTTATATAATCCAATTAATATATTCATACAGATTAGCAGGATATGATTTCAAAATTGCATTTTAATGATGGAGAATTGTAAATGAATATAGATAGGGCAACAGAAGAGTTATCGTCAGTTTTTTCCCTCAAAAAGCAACCGGGCCTATGGGAAATGTAGTCTTAAAGATACAGTGGTATTAGGTGACCACTTGTCGTGTTATGACAACTGAAGAGACAATTATAATCCGACAACCTTTAAATTGTTGTTGCCTTTAAAGGCGCAATCCACCAACTTTACACACACAGTCAGTTAACTAGTCGTATGGGGTATCAGGCTGTGAAAACAGTCGTATAATGTCTTCTGTGTGTAAGGAAATGATCCCTGATGATGTCACAATGATGTCAACAGGGTTATCTCTGTCTGGGCCTGGGGACAAGAAATGTATAATTAACTAACTTCACTGGAAACTAAGAGTATGGAGTTTCAAAGATTCGGACATTCCCATGGCAAAGACGGAAGATGCTATTTATGGGAAATACAGGATTCAGTGCGTCTGGACCTGGACCACTAAATGTCAGGATTTCTCAGACTCTGCTGCTTCATCATCCATATTGTGAATCACCCAGCTAATGGAAGTGCAATACTACGTTGCTGGACAGCTCTTGAGGAGACTGTTCTTTTGAAACTGGCTTTAGTGTGCGCGACCTCAGGCATGCAGTCTCCATACTCCGTCTGCAGGGCCAGAGCCCCCAGGTACAAAGCTGTCTCCTCGTGGCAGGACAGCCTGTCCTCCAAAAGGTCTCTCCTGAGCTGCAGGTAATACTGGTGGCGGGTCTGTTTCTGCCTGATGGAGAAGACAGCACACATTTGAACGATTCCAGACGGCTTTACGAGACACGTTTTGTAACTGCTTGTTGTTGTTGGTAATGACATGAGAAAGAAAGAAAGATACTCACAGAAGAAGTGAAATGTCGTTGACAAAGAATTTGACCCTGAAGAAAAGAACAAAGGTGGCTGTAGGCACTTTCTTCCAGCTATCTGGAGCAACTTTGGAAATCTTGGTGTCGTTGTCCACGAAGAAATACTCATTATCTGACCAGAGAAGAGAAACATCCCAGTCAAGCAAACAGTCAGATACATCCATTCAGTCATTCACTCACTGACTCATCGTTGTTAAATCTGTCTGCTTCTTTACCATCAATATAAGCAAGGCCAAAGTAGAAATGTTCCATCAGGTTGGAGTGAGCCACAATCATGTCAAAGACGTCTCCTCCTCTGGATTTCACTTCACACTTGACCAGGATCCTCTGACTGTTTGGCATCACCACACTCAGCTCTCTCTGGGTGGTTGGAGATTTCCCTTTCTTTGACTGCCAAAAACAACAACAACAACAACAACAACAACAACAACACATTTAAAGAAAGAATTTGTGGTGCATTGTTTTTGGTAGTCAGTAAAAAAAAAAAAGGTGATGGGAGGGACCTTTTAAACCCTCGATGGTAAGGTTTGCAAGGTGATGCATAAAATGGAAAATGCTGCTGTTTAAGGTACGACATTTAAAAACTAGGTTCTCAAGTACTCGAGGAGGTTGTACAAAAAGATGAATCACAAACAGTCTCCTTGACTGAAACGTCAAGGTGAACCCTTCCCATATCTGAATGGATGAACACACCATTTGCTTGGCTGTTGTTTCACTAATTATCAAAGAAAATTAGTTTCTAAAGAAATTCATGTCATGCAGTTGAGGAGTCATGCTGTTTTCTATATTTACAAAGACTGATTCAAATGGTGGTCCACAAGGAAGGGGAGATTCAAGAAGTGAGTCACATCATCTAAACCACTCCTCATATTTCCCTGGTCAGTCCAACTTCCCACTGACCGTCTCAGAGAGAGAGAGAGAGAACATTCGCAGTGGATGTCCTCCACACACATCAAAAATAATCAGTTTAAATTAATGTAAACCTCTACAAAAATTCACAATGACAGAAATTAGTCTGTTTTTTTTTTTTTGTTTTGTTTCTTCTCAAGAACTCACCACGATGGATCCAGGCAGCTCTAAGACAACCAGCGGCTCATCTAACATTCTGATAAACTCCGGGCCCACGTCCTGTGACAGAATGGAAATGGGAAAGAGAAAAGTGAATATGCTGCCAAACCAGTCTTGGTCACATAATCAGTCAGCGACATAGATGGCACTTTGGTTTGTATCTGTTGTTTGAAATGCTGCAACGCAATGAGATGTGAAGAATTTGCCGGAAGAATTGCAAACAAAATGCACAACGTTACCTTATTTCCTTTACCCTTTATGTAATTTCATATAAGCGTCAATGTCAGCATATTAAATTAAATTACACACCTTGGCTTTCTTGTCATTCAGACTCATTGTGGACTCAAACTGCGCGAGGGATCTGAAGTTGGCGTTACGATTACCATCCATGTATGGACTACAAGGGCTGCGGTTCAGCTGCTGCCAGCTGCCGTAACTCTCTCTGTGTCGACCTCCCGAGGGAATCCTGGGAAAAAAATGAGTTTTCCATTTTCAGTCTGATGGGACTCGAGATCTGTCACTCATGAAAAGATGGCTTGCAACCAGACAATATATCTTTTAATTGTATTCGCTTTGTCAAAGAGTCCTTTGGGGGGGGGGTTTGTCTTCCCAGCACAGTCTCTGTCTCTTTTTCCACACTGTTTTTAGCATTTAATCAACTACTCAACTGTGACATAAACAACATATGATTTTAGAGCATTTTATTCGTAGCTACTTTGATTCAAGCGTGCAAATGGGTTTATGCCAATGTATGAGGCGCTAAAAAATGTCTGTTACAAGGTGTGTAAAATATATTTGGACACAGACTTCATACCCTGTGGGATCGGAGGGATAACACGCTCCTGAGAATGTTCTAGAAATCTTCTTCTTCAGCGCCCATGATGAGTAACTGAAAGAGCCCCCTGGAAAACAAATTGGTATGTAAAACTTATGTCCACATTATAATATTACACTTACCCACTCTCTTCCTTGCTGATAGTTAGATGAGAACATTGATGCCATTGGTTAGCTTAGCTTAAAGAAATAAAAGAGTGGGCGACTGGTACTGGTGCTGGTGCTGGTAGGTGGATTTTGTTACCTATGGACAGAGTCGGGCTAGCTGTTATCCCATGCTTTAAGTCTCTATGTTAAGCTAAAGCTAACTGACCGCTGGCAGTTGCTTCAAATTTACCATACAGACATGAGAGTGCTATATGAAGCTACAGCCAGCAGCCAGTTAGCCTAGCTTAGCACAAGACTGGAAATGGGGCTATTCTTGGCCTGTCCAAAGTTGAGAAATCTGCCCACCAGCACCTTGAAAGCTAAAGCTCATTACGCTACACAATATATCACTTTGATATCATTTTTTAAGTATAATAACGACATGTTTAGGGGATTAGTGCCAGACTTTTTCTTGCCCGGGAGCTGTGTTATTTTGTGTATGGATTGAAAAACTATATACGGTATAACATGTTATTGATCGAACAGAGAGTGGTATTCATCTCATCATCTAACTCTCAGCAAGAAAGCGAGTAAGTTTATTTCTTAAAATGTGAAACTATGGCCTCAAATCTGACAGAAGGGATCAGTTTCTTACTGTGTAATCTGTCTCTGACCATTTGACTGCGGTCTGTTAGCTGGGATCCATTTTCAGCCAAGGACACATGATCAACCTGCAAAGATATCATTGTCCAGCTCAAGCAGCAAGCAGAGAATAGGTGCTAACTAAATTAACTAAATTAAAACTACTCAAAACCAAACATGACCTCACATAACCTTAGCTTAAACCAAACCAAATCAATCAACCACCGCCCACTTGGCGCGAACTCACCGAGTTTCTGTAGACGTCTTCAACCAGCTGTCTAATGAGGCGTTCAGCAGGAGGCAGCATCGCGGCCTTGTGGTGAAGCTCACAGATCTCCAGCACCGTCAGGAGGTTGGTCCTTCTCACCAGCATGTCCTCACACATACTCAGCAGCAAACCCTCCAGCTCCGCACTCAGCTGGACCGGCTGCATGGACACAAGTGACAGGACAACAGATGATGCGCTGAAGTACAAAGAATATGCAAGAGTGAGTTTGAGCAAGAGGTAGAAGATAAGAAGGAAGAAAGTACCTGATTATGAGGTAGATGATAATCAACGCACCAGTACAGAGTCATCCCCAGTGAGTACACGACCATCTGATGGAAAGCAGAACAAGTAAACACTTTGTCTCAAGTGCTACTGTATGTGCATAGCTCATGCTATTAACTGATTCCTAACAATTTTTGCATTTTGTGATTAAAAGGTCCAGGTCACCAAAATGTTTTGAATAATTAGAGCACGTAGGCAAAGACAGATAGCTTAAAAAAGTAAAAATAATCATTTAAATATAACTTGTTTTATGGACCTGATTTCTTCTTATTTCTTTACTTTTTGTCGTCTTAAAACAAATCAGTTTCACCTTTATAAACCTTTATAGTGTGACCCTGTTATAGGTTCAATACATCATGCATCAGTCTATGAGTGATTCATTTTAATGATTTTTTAGGAGCCTAAAGGGATAAAACCACCCAGTATTTCACAACAACACATGCAATGACATGTAGAAAAGATGAAAAGTGAATATGAGATGTCCTCAAAACATATATGCAAGTCGGAGTTTTCTGACCTTTTCAAGTGCAGTCCTGGTGGAGGCTGCGTGAGAGTGCTGGACCTCAGGAGCCGTGAAGGAGGCCACGTCTTCGTATCGCACGCAGCTCTTGAAGGCCAGACTCCCATTGGCTGACAGCAGCATCGAGCCTGGGCTTAGCACACTGCACATGTTGCCTGAACCTGACCAGAGAGCAGAACAGAAGCTGGTGACATTTACCAACTCGAAGGATTTGATAACTTTCGCCTTCGTCATATAGGGTTGCACATTCTGTGAAAGCATGCCAGATAGGAAAATGAGTTTGGTGAAAGCAAGTATGAGACTAGCAGAGGTTAAAGAGCTTTCATACAGTCATATGAATACAAAGATTCTTGGTGATACATTTTAAACTCATTCGGTTTGGATGCTCTTGAACGCTGCCTTTGAACCGCACCCGGTAGCCAGGTAACAGCTGGATCTGGGAGGAAATTGAAGTTGGTGAGCGGTTACCTTTTTTGGAGATGTCCAGCAGAGCCTCAGTGGTGGCGAGCAGCAGACACCAGACCTCATCCTCATCCAGTGGTGAACCCCGGGCCTCCAACACTTCTGCCAGGGTCACAAACGTACCCATCCTGCCAGGACACACACACACACACACACACACACACACACACACACATGACATTTACATTGACTGAGCAATTTTTGATTTGCAGGTGACACCAAATCTTCATGCACCCTACTGGACAGAGTTTTTCTTCAGAACAAAAATGTTTTCTGTAAGGGAAGAACACAAGTTATACGTCCATTACTACATGTTTATTTAAAGAAAAGGGTTGATAGCAAGAATTACCCAGTGACTAGAGTCCCATTGAGTTATAGGCTACAAGAGGTCAGAGATCAGAGTTTCAGACAGACAAGCTTAGGACAAGCTTAGGGTTAAGAGGAATTAGATCTAATTAGAAACAAATCCAACTCTCCAACAATGCTAACTGCTTCCATACTTTCCCTATCAAAATAAAATAAAGGGAAAATAAAATGAAGTGATGTCAACATCTCGTTTGACATGAAATAAAATGAAAATACAGAATGCAGAGGTCTGAGCTTCAGTGGAATTTCCTTTTTGCTTTTTACCTGAGTTTGACTAAAGTAAATCAACTAAAAGACTCCAAGAAGCTGCAGCTTTAGTTTTCAAAAGCAATTTATTTCTAAATTGTGTCTTTCTTGTTTGTTAAATTGTATTTTTTTTTGTACTTACTGTATCAGCTTGAGTTTGAGTCTGGTGTTGAGTAGTTTTAAAGCTCTCATGTTCTTACGTTGAAGGACCTCTGACATTATAAATTACCTTGAGAGGATTTCAGTAATTGACTACACTTCATTAGGTCAGATGAAATTAATTACTTCAACAAGTAGTTAAAGTGGATTTCTTGATGTGCATACAGAGTTATTAGGATATTTTTGAACGTATTTGTTTTTATCAACTAGGTGTATTAATTCCTTATAGTGCTTCAAGTTTTTTCTGTTTAATTTGTTTGCCAGTATTGGTATTTTTGTCCATTTAAGAAAATAATACATTGATTAATTGATTGATACATTGGCTACGGGAAAAGAATGTTGAATGTTTTCTCTTGTGACATAGCCAAACTTTCAGGACTTATTTTCACTGGGTAAAAATATACAGAGTCCTGTTGATGATTGATTATTTAACATCACCATGGGAGGAGAAACATCTGCGATCTAATTTTACCACATCAACCGTTTTATGCATCTGTTCCCGTAACTTGACAGTAGCTATTGTCAGGAGACGTTTAGATTAGAAAGATTACTCACAGAATTCTTAGTGGCTTGAACCTTTTGAAATAAGAACAATCACCAGCTGGGCAAATACTTCTAGTAACTTTGCAATACAAGAATCACCACACTGTACCATGACAAGGTACCATGTTCAACCCCACTTATCTTTGCTCAGATTGCTTGGCACAAAACAGACGGAAGACCAAACTGAAGTCACTCTCTCACGATGGTGAATAAAAGCGTACACTCCAGTAATGACAAGAAAAAGAAAAACTTTTGACTGATGAGCCGCTGCAGTTTGTGGTGTTACTTTGCTGTAACTAACATCCCTGGTGGCATTAGATAAAGATCTAAATCTGATGAATAACTAGATTATACAACACAACACTTTGTATTAACATGGTTCTCACTAACCCCAGTAACTTGGGTTTTCATCATTTGTTTGACTATCAGATTAATGTCTGTATGTTGGTGTGGAAGCCTCCAGGAAGTCTCTTACTCATCACCTTATTCCTTCTCTTTTAGGAGGATAAGAGGAGGAAAATGCAGAATGTTGTTAGTGTGCATGTCCATCTTGAGTATTTTACTTCTTTATATCACTTTAATCTATTTCAACTTAATTGGATGTACAGTTTTAATTACTGCTGTTGGTATTTCTGCTGTTTAGACATTGCTTTGCATTCATTCTGACACACACATAACAGAATTACATCACTGACAGAGACCACGCTTGCCACTGTAATTTGAGACGTTGCCAAATAACCCAGCTCTGCTAATCAGGTTATGTGTACTCTGATTTAATTCAACCAATTTAGCCACGGGCGAGGTGTCTGTAGCTGAAATAATCTGTGTTTATGATCACATATAATATAGATCTACAAGTTGTTGCAAAGTACAATATTTAGCTAATTAGGCAATAATGATGTCAATTGAAAACTAACTAAACTAACTAAAAAATGCTAGATAAACACAGTAGTGTGACTGACCAGGTGTAAGTGTTTGTGTATGCCAAATTCCACTGCCACCCCCTTCACACAGAGCGTCTGACAGTGATTTTAGTCGTGAAACACGTGTTAACTCAGTTGTAGAGAAACAAAGCAAAAGTAAGGATCGACTCAGTGGAATTCTTTAATTCATCCAGGGAAATCTGATTTGAGCACACGCGCGCTTTTTAACCAACATCCTGCTTCTCACTCACGTATGAGTTTGAGGCTTTTGCTCAATCTCACCATGCGACCCTGCAAACTAACCACTATCGGTTTTGATTCCAGAGGGAAATTGAGTTGTTACAGCAGTTGACTTAAAGAAAAGAGAACAAAAAACATGCTGACTGTTGCTAATATGTATTGGTTGCGGTCAGTGGATTCTAGGCCCACAAGTGGTTTGACGAGTAATGTTCAGACTAAAAAGAGTATAACTTGGTTTTTACACATTATGTGGCCTACCTTATTTCATCCAGTATCTGAAGAGATTCTTCTTAAGTTCCTTCAGACATCCGCCACTCTAATCCGTCCTCTTATACATCCCCTGCTGCCATTGCACCCACCTCTCCCTGGTCCGAGTGCTATTGTCTGTCATGGCAGCTTGTAACACAAGACGGATCAATTGTCTCTACAGAAAGAACACATCAGCTCCATAACATAATTTCGTCTGTGCTACCAACTAATGACGTGTTGTTTCTGCGTTTTCCGTCATTTTCAACTATTTTTAGACTGGGGACCATAAGAACATAATTGGATTTGCAGGGCAGGCTAACGGCAGATGGGGCAGCAAAGGACCAATCCATTGTAGGCGGCACTGTGGTAATCTGATGTTTCAGCCACAAGTGACACAATAATTGTCCCACTTTCTATTAGCACCTTGCATAGATTAACACACAGCTGACTGGCTAATACATATGGCTCTCTAAATATCTAGATTTCAAGGAACATGCTACATATTTATATATTTATATGTAAAACCTTACTCAAAGTAAGAATAACCATAATGTTATGCATTTAAAAAATAGATGGACGTAAAAGTATGAATTTAAATTTAAATGTCAAATATAATTAAATAGCAGTGGTCAAAGTACTATTTTCAAAAATGGATCTTGAGATGTAACACTGTGTTAACATATATGTAATATGTTTCAGGTCATATAGGCGGGTATAACTACGCCTGATGTCTGTTGTGTAATATAAACTAGAAATTTCTCATCTTTTATGTGATTTCTTAGTGTATATTTTCCATTTAAAAACATGCAAATAACAAGTATAAATTCATTCTGTTCATTCTCAAAACTTACAGCAACCAGTGCTGCTGTTCCTGCCCAGGTAAACAAACCCATAGCTGTCTAATAAATGTAGTGCAGCAGAAATATGAAGTAGCATGAAAAGAATATATCCAAGTAAAGTAAAACTACTGTACAAGTATAGTAGCCTACTTGAGTACATATTTATTTTCCAGTATTAAGTAAGAAGTATTATGGATTTTAGGGCCACCAGAAGGCCACCACAGAGAATATTAATTTTTCAAAAAAGAAAAATATTTATTTGTACTTCCTGATACAGTTTAAACAAAAACTGTACGTCAAATAATGTCAAATCCTAGAATGTACTGCAAATTGTTGTATTAGACTGCATTCGGTTACACAATAAAATGGGAACTAATCTATATCTACAAAATAAAACAAGGCCTTCCTATTATTCATTCCAGATTTTATATAAATAAGTTATATGCTATATAAGCCAACCTATACCTTATTCAAATTAACGTATATAAAAGTTTGATTTCCCAATTTAATTTGTTAGCTAACTGTTAACATCAAAAAGAAAAAATAAACCTTTACATACTATCTTAAATGTCATCTCAGTTGCAAAACATGTATACACGTGTTTATGTATACATTATATATGTGTATTATATATTTGAAAACATTTTCGGAAATACACATAAAAATATGTGTAAAATATTGCTATTTCCCCGTTATATGCAGTGTCATTTCAAAGCGTTGCGAAACCGTCGCTTCCGCTTTCCCGGTGCTGCTGCCGGGAACGCGCAGGCGGTCTTGAACGTGCCCCTGGTGCTCATTGTGCAGCCGAGGAAACATCGCAAGCTTCCGACGACGTCGGTATGAAATGGCAGAAACTGCTTGTGTCACGGAAGCACAAAGATTAGGTTACGTAGGAGCTACACATGTATTTTGCGATGATCCAGACCTGCTAGAGTGAGGGAAACGGAACTATATCCGGAGGAAAAAAAAAGGGGATTAAAGTGCTGTTTTTCACCGAACAACCAAAAGAAAAAACGGCCGGGTTGTGTCTTCAGCAGCAGGCAGCGAACGGCGACTGCGGGTCGACACTGTTGGAATTAACCGGAGAGGGGTGAGCTCGACATATGGATTTTTTTTCTCCATGTTTGACGTGTTATTGTCAACCGTTGGGGGATGGGAACAGCCAAATTTGGGTCACACACGCTACGGTGAATAGGTGTTACTATAACATACATGGTAAAGCACCACAGCAGGCAGGACAGGTCTGGCCTAACTGGTAAAAGGCAACCAGACTGAGGGGGCTACACTGGGAAGCACACTACTGTAACCTGTGATATCGGTGCTACACACGTTAGCCGTGCTTACACTGTAAACTGCGAACCGGGTGGTGTTGCCAGTCATACGACTAGTGAGAGGTGCAACTAAAACGCGGTGACCCCCGGTCTGTGGTCACTAAAAAGACAGTAACATTCTGCATGTAAACACAAACCATGAATACAGCATGTTTTTTTGTTTTTTTTGTTTTAAGCTAGCATCCGTTTGCGGATACTCACTGCTGTGAAAAAGCTCTCATACATATTCATATTCGCTTGTAAGGTGAATAAACTCAATTCCTGCACTGTACACTGGGCATAGGCGGGTTTACACTGGTTATTATACTGTGGCAGCATCACTGTTAATTCATTAACAGCACAAAAGGCTACACACAAGGCTGCAGTCTTTCTGTTTATTTGGTTCTTATGTGATTTACACGGATGCTAATCTCTCACTGATTTAACAATTGAAAGATCAGTGTGAATATCCTTGCATGGCAGTTGCATAATGTTGCAGTTTGGTCTGTCTTTTCTTCTGCAATCAAATGGGCAGGTTATAGTCTCTACCTCTACAGTATAATAACATCAGCTATCTTTATCAGGCCAGAAGATCAACTGTGAAGTTTTATAATCCATCAAATTATCTGTGATATTTACAGCTTGGTCTGGTTGTCGTAATTGTCTGGTCAAAGGTGCGCTTGGCTGACGGTGTCAGAAGTGTGCATACTGGTCATACTCTCTCACATATTCGGGTGATGGAGCTCACAGACTGCACTGCACATTGCTAGCTAGGTTCACCCAACAACCTGCCAAGAGGAGAGCGACGGTCAGCCAAAAGCACCAAGAAATCTGATTCCTGCACCAAACGTGTGCGGTGGCCTGCAGAGAAGGGCAGGATGATGAACAATTTGATTTTCATTTTGCTCAATGACTGAAACACTGTGCGACAGTGGCAGTCGATTTCTCAGTCCCTTCATGATAAATTGAACGGGCTGTGTTACTATTTGTGTCCAAACTCCATTAACGGGTCAATTTATAGTACCCACAGGTGTATGTCATTATTTGCCTTAGTAGGTAGAGTTATTACCTGATATAAAAAAAAACAGGCTATTCTCTGGAATGTGCTGGTTGACCGACTCTAACCTGGCGGCCAAGATCAGCCCTGACACATGTAAAACAAACAGAACAGCATGCCACAGTACAAACAGTCATGGGTGAGGGCAAAGACAGTTTCCTTGAGAAATAATCATCCCCCGTCTTTCCTCACCTTTGGAACATGTTCAGATTCTCTCCTGAAAGATGTGTTGTTTCATTTGTTGTCTTATCTGTCCTTCTGCAAATATATTTTATGGTCACCCCTCACAAAGCTGTTCAAATAAGTCATGTTGACAAGGTTTGTCTAGTTTGTGTTCACCCTTTTATCCGCAGCAGCCTATTACGTTTATGGATGTGATTGTCGAGCTTTCGCTCTCCTTTCCAAGTGCTCGTCTTTCACTATCTGAGGTTTGATGCCAAAGCAATATCATGCTTTTGGCGACTCTGGTATGACTGCATGTCTGAATGTTAGGTACCTAATATTTTTTCCTAAATTCTGCGTCTTCTTTCATGATTAGCATTTTAGCAAAGATTATAGGTAGTTTGAGCAGAAACACCCCTGGTTTTTCCTCTCCAGACAATCAGGAGAGAAATGTGGTTTATGGCCTTTGCTGGTACCAGTGTGTGGCGCTGAATGTGCCCTTATGGTCTCTTATCAGCAGCAGTTCTTTGGCTGAATGCGAGTGGTTCACTGATAAAATCCAACTGTCCTAAATAGCTAGTGGACTCAATCATGGTTGCCCAGATAAAACAAATCTGTTTGATATTTGCAAGAATCTGCACGGTAGAGTGACTGAGTGAAAGAGGAGCAGACCTGTAATAGCCAGTGAAAGACAGATCAGCTCCCAGCAGAGACGGTGTGATGGACAGCTGTGGGGGAGAGGGTAGTGTAAATCTGGACAGGACTGCCAAGGCCTGCAAAAGCCACATTTGACACTTTTTGACATAGTTATCTGTCTTTTTCTGTCTGGTTGTCAGAGGTATTAGTTGCTCACAGTCATTTTTTTCAGTAAAAAGCATCAGTCTGTGATGTAGCTGCAGCTGTGATGCGTCAATGTGTACATATGTGTAAGAGCTGCAGCATTTCTGAGGGATTGCCAATAGATCTGAAGCCCTGACAGTGTCATGTATTCATCAGATGGATAAAATATTGCTGTAGCCAATGTACAAACACACAGAACACACTTGATTACTGCGCCAACAGCTTTCACACATCCACTCATTTATCTGTGTGCAGCCCTGGTGGTATAACATAGTGTGATGGAGGGCCACACGTACACAATTCTCTGCATCCGACAACCGCTGAATTGGGTTGACAGCCCGACACACTCTGTCATATTGCTCAGCCCTGTTTGCACATGCAGCTACAGATCCTCCGGTCTCACAGTAACCCTGATATGTGCGTCTCTGTCTTCACATGGGAGAGAATATCATGTCACACCATATGCTGAAGCCTAACATCAGTTTAGACATATTCTGCAGGTTATAGATAGACCTGCGTGTACTTGGTACAGCATGAGTACACTCCCTCTCCTCCAATGTGGCCTATATTTGATTTACCAAATGACATTTTCGGAAAAGCATGTTAGTAGTGCTCAGATGTTATTTCTGATCGCTTTGCAGCCATACACCACTGGCAAATGAAGCTGACATTTTTGCTGCTGGGTGGGTGAGCCTACAGGTAATTTTAAAAAAGGGTTTAAGTTATTTTCTGTAAGGTGTGGGTACTTACAAATCAGCAAGGGTTAATTGGGTGGAACATGGTTAAGCGACATATGAGGTGGAAGGTGTGAGGTTTAATCTCTATGACGTGATAATGAAACAGCAGCAGGTGGTGGAGATACTTTAAACTTTAATTCAGTCTTTTTACAGCTTGCAAGGTTTTTTTGGACAGACGTTACAGTTTCAGTTTGGAGTCAGTCATGATAACCTGTGTGAAATATGTTTTTAATAGTCTGTATTAGGGGTGGGTGAAAAAATGTATTCATATAACAATTGTGATTCTTACCGTCTCTGATTCTGAGTCGATTCACAAATGCAGAAAATTGATCTTTGTAATAACATTAGACAAAAGAGGAACTCAGCCATGACGACGCGGTGCAGTACCGGATGGTGTGCAGCAAACGCCTACTAAAATAATCTAGTAGTTCATCTTCAAAATAATTGGACGAGCGTTCGGATGCATTTTGTGTTTAATGACTTCATAATTATCTTCGTAAGACAAAGGAGAAGTATTATGTGAATACTTTGTGCCCTATCACCTACAGACTGACGTCAGTGCAGTGGAGCACAAAAACTATAATCTGAGACCAGCTGACCAACACACACTGCAGCACTTTGCAAATCTACAACCAACTGCAGCAGGGCGAGGAAATGAACTCAGTCCATCGTCTGTTTTATTTCAATAGCCCTGCATCTGTACAGCCACTTGGATAAAAATGGCTTTTCCCCCCCGTACTAATGTCAGAGCAGAGAGCCTGTTCTCCACTGCTGGAGACATAATGTTAATAACAACACAGAAGAGTACTCTGCTTTGTTTCCCTTTTCACCCATTTACTACAGAACACACACACACACACACACACACACACACACACCAACTTCTGTTTTTCCACAAAAATCATTTCATTATTTTCATATAGACAGAAGACTGCTTCTGTAAGATCCTTCCATGATAATGCAGTTAACCTAAACGAATAACTTTGAAAAATAACGCCGCATCCTCTCACACACCTTTCTCAGCTGTCAGACAATGACCCTCATGAAGGCCGGTTTCATTTGCAGCTCAGTGGGTAAAGGACAGGAGTCAGTGGTGTGGCACACAGTGCACAGGAGGACGAGCCAAAATGCAGCTCCCCTCTTTCTTTTTTTTTTTCTCTTTTCATTGAATCGAGTATTGATCCTTAATCGAATCGCGACACCGAGAATTGGAACTGAATCAAATCATGAGATTGCAAAGACTGCCACTCCTAAGACTGTATTATTTATGATGCTGTTAGTATGCATGGTATTTTGGTTATGTGCTGCAAAGAGCTGTTGGTTCATGTCGGTATAAGCTGCAAAGTGTGTGTCTGTGTGTGTGTGTGTGCCTGTGCCAAATTCAAATGGAGTGAAAGTCATGCCCTGCTGGCACAAACCGGTCTTGTGTCCAACCAAGTCTGTTTTCCCTTCAGATCGTGTTTCGTTTAGTTAAGCCTCAGGTGTGACATGGTTAGTGGGGGTCAGGTGAAGCATCTCAGTAGGTGACTGATGGAGGGTAAGGACTAAGATTGGGTGTAGGTTAAGGTAAGGGGAAACGTATCGACAGAGAAACAGGCTAACAAAGTCGCATAGTGCCACATAACAATGACTGTAACCGTCACAATACAGATCTAAATGAGTGACTGAGTCTGAATTTGTTCAGTAAGCTTTTGATTCCATAGAAGCGTCATAAATGTTGTTTGTGTTTGTGCATGTGCAAGTGTGTGAGTCTCTGCTGGCGTACATGTATCTTTTTATCAAACATTTGGCAGCGCGTCTCTTTCTGTCAGACAAAATAACTGAGTTCAGGCTCTTTTTGTGAACCTTTTATTCATCCCTGTACCTCTGCACCGCCTGGCTCCGCTGCAGGCTGTCGACAAGGTTCTCCAGCAGGAGAGAGAGAGAGAAGATGACGTTATGATCAGAGTCAAAGGGAAGAAGGCAGCAGTGAGGAGAGGAGACAAAGATGAGGAGAAGCAGGAAGGATGAAACAGGAAGGCGAGGAGAGGAAGAGGCACAGGGGAAGACAGCATAGGTGGCATGGCTGCAGAATTTGAGTCCGATATAAAGATCATTATCTGGTTTCTTGATCTTGTCAGTATTTCAGCTATTCTTGAAATTTGATTTTACTTTTTCTCTCCTGAGTATCTAAAAAAAAAAAAAAATGTATCATAACAGAGAAATTGATGTGTTTAGTGATGTTCTGAATAGGATTTGAATTCTACTCTCTCTGGTCTGAACCCAGCCGGACCTGTGGTTGGAATTGAATCGGACTTAACTCAGGTGGTCGGGACTGCAGCCGCATGAGGTGAAGAGAAAGCAGAATAGAAGAAAAGAGCAAAGGTTTGAAGGGCAGCTTCCACCAAGAAGAGACGAAAGAATGTAGTGGAGAGGAGAGCGAAGAGAAGGAAATGCTAACTGATACTGAAAGGTTGGGGGTGGGCCGGCAGTAGTCGGAGACTTCCAGAGGTCAGGTCATGGTCCGTGGAACGTACAGCTATCATCACAAAGCCGACCTCCTCACCACAATGTTCCAAATTCCACTAATGATTTTGTCGTCTTGGTAGCATTTAACCCAGCTTCCTCTCTGTCCCTCTCTGCCTGGATCATCGCTCCATCACTCTGACCTTTGGGTCTGATTTACTGTATGCACTGCTCCTCTGGGCTATATTATGTATTTCAGAAGCTTAGTAGTCATTATAATTGATTAACCTCACTTTTGGAAGAGTGGCTGGTTTGAATTTCTGATTAATGAATTCTCTTGGTGGTGAACCGAGGCTGTAATTGGTTGAGATTTAAACTGTGCTATCGCACAAATGAGCACGACTCTGCAGCTCCACAGTTCTATTTAAGAAATAAATACAACTTGTTTGCATTTGAGGAAATGTAGATAATGGTTTTAAACATTAATTACACGAGGTACCTGGATAATACAAACCCTAGGAGTGTTTAATTTCAGTTAACTGGTTGCAGTGATGAGGTAATACGCTGTGCCAGACAGCCTGTGGTGTGGGGCGGTGTGATGGACAGATCTACTATCTGAGCAGTTCAACAGCAGTCTGAAAGCTTCACTGGCTCTGGTCCCAAACACTTGCTTTGGTGCTGGTACCATGCCTGTTCACTTGCCATGTTAAATAATGAAATATATCCTACACTTACAGGAAGAATGGTTCTCGTAAATCCTTTGGCCGAATTGACAAAATGTTTTGCAGATGGGAGCTATGTGCTAAAAGGCATATGAAGTACTTTTTGAAACCCTTATATCTTAGTAGGGCTGAACAATGAATCGAAGTATTATTGAAATCACAATATGGCCAGGTGCAATATCCAAATCACAGGAGCTGCAATGTTTTTAATGAAAGTACATTGTGTCACAACAGACCATAAATGAAGCATTGTGGTGTTAAGAGCCGGTAAAAATGAAATGCAAAAATTACCTTTGCAACTGAAATCGTGACTTATATCACAATCGCAATGTATGCCAAAATATATTTTTTTGCATATTATTCAGTCCTATATGTTAGTCCAGCGTGTTTGTTTTGGCTGCTGGATGGAAAGTGTTAAACCAAAGGTTGACGACAGGTGAAAAAAAATGACAAAACGTGTCTTGCTCCTCGTGTTCTGCAGGTCTTGAGAGGAGAGCTCCACTTGGATGCCCAGTCACAGTGTTCGTCCCAAGGCTTCACCATGAACCGGAACAAGCGTGAAAAGGAGTACTACAGTATAGATGTGGGCGATTCAACTTTTATGGTTTTAAAGCGCTACCAGAACCTCAGACCCATCGGATCCGGAGCACAGGGAATTGTCTGGTGAGTCAAAGGGAAAAAGAAAAAACCAAAACACTGTATTCTAAAAATATTCAGTGTAAAAATCCATTCTTGATGATGGAAATAATAGTAAGGCAAATTAATCTTGAGTCGAGGTCTACTTACTATGTCTGGTGCTTTCAACTCCATCTGATGGTTTTCATTAGCAAAAAGAAGTGAGCTCAGTTGTCTTGGACATAGCTAAGGTCGCACACTTAGATCACGTGTTGACAGCTATCCATTCCATCTGCTGCCGACCACCATTAGTTGAAAGCTCTGACAAACGCTAGTAAGTAGACCTTGAGTTATTTCGTCAAACTATGTTGTTATTAATTTACATTGAATTAAGTTTATAAAACATGGTTTCTAATGTGTTTGTCACACTTTTATATATTTTTCTTTGATGATAAAATGTGATATTTTAATATCACAAATATCACTCATAGTGTTTTTATATTGCATCGGTTTCCTGCACAGCAACCTTTGCCTCTGACCTACAGTAACCTATCCCTCCTTATATTGATTGTTAAACTTTAGAATTAAACTTTCCACGTAGAAGCTGTCGGCCGGGCAAACATTTGACGAACGCTGCTGATGCAGCGCGCAGGCTTTGCCAGCTGTTGGCTCTGAAAGTTGATGACATGAGATGTTAGATGAGCGGTTGCATGCAACACAGAAATCAATGCATAATGTAGTATTTGTTGACAGTGCAGCGTGGTATTGTGTTCCCTGTGGATTTCTGTAGACGTGAGAGGATTAAGGGAAGAGTGAGTGTTGAAAGATTTGAATCTGAATCCCAGGATCGGGATTGGTTCATTTATATGACGATGATATTCTATCACATCAACATATCATAATTGATATCTAAAGGTGGGGATCCAAAGTAATGCAGAGCCAGTTCTTGTAACATAAGCTCAGCAAAGATGAACTCACCAGAGTTCTGTGCTGTCATTAACCTTCTCTGGTCCCCATACCAGGTAGGAACACCAAGAAACTGATGCACATGAGCATCAGTCAAGACTTCAGTTTGTTATGTGAGGAACTGCTGGCCTTTAAATATCAACATCTCCCGTGTTTCTCTTACGTTGCCTTTGTGCAGAATCCTCAAGAGACCTCAAGATTTTTCGAATTAAGGTTTTATTCGAACATGCATTACTGTTGACTGAGTTGCTGCTGCTTTCCTCTTCATCTCCTCCAGTTCAGCGTATGACCACAATTTGGAGAGGAACGTTGCCATCAAGAAGCTGAGCCGACCCTTTCAGAATCAAACTCACGCAAAACGGGCCTACAGAGAACTGGTGCTCATGAAATGTGTCAACCATAAGAACGTAAGAGCTCGACTTTCCTGCCATTATTTTTTTTATGTTTCTGTGCACTAAACTGTCTAATAGGCTCACAGTTTAAAATTCACAATCTGTGTCATTTTTACAGACGTACTTTACCATCTTGCGGCTCTCTGCTGCAGTCATTAGTGATCCAAAAATCTGCCCACCATGTTTGATTGACAGTTGATCTTAAAAACAGGTTTCCTGAGGATTACCACAATGCTTCCCTGCTGTGTCATGTTTTTGTTTTTTTTTGTTTTCCTTTTGAATTAGAGATTGTCTTGTTGTTATTCATTATTGATGCTCCGGCTGCTGCAGTCTGGGCCTTTCAGATGAACAGTTGGCCCTGCTGGTTCAGGGATGCACAAGTGGAGATAATGTCATTCATTACAACCTGGTCGTCTCTCCTCTGGTGAGGCAGCGCAATAACTGTTTTTTAAAAAATTTTTTCTTTTCCAGATAATCGGCCTATTAAACGTATTCACACCACAGAAGACACTGGAAGAATTCCAAGATGTGTGAGTATAACTGAGCCAAATAACATTTGTGCTCCAAGTGTTTGTAAAATCAATATAGGATATGGCATGCTGGGGGCTTAGATGATCTTCTTCCAAGGGGTTGTGCAGCTTAGCCGAGTCTCTGGTTAGTGTGTTATCGTGCCGTACATAATGCAGGGAGCTGTAGCCGAGTGGATATTTTGGATTTTTTTTAGGCTCTTTTTAGATTCTTTAGATTCTTGAAATAAAAGTCTAGAAATTAGATTCACAAAGTTGATTTTAAAGGTAGAAATTTTTCATCTTGAGACATCTATGAACACTGATGAATATGAAAATTAAATGATTATATTTGAGATTGAGTTCTGGTAAAACACACACATGTACAACATACTAACGACTTTCTCTCTGATGGTTCTGGTGGAGTGCAGATTGCCCAGTCTCTCCAATTACCCTAAGTCATATCCCTTTGTATAACCTGACATTCATAAATTCTACATTTGTGTGACCTCTGGCTTTTAATAAAAGCTACAACAGGGTATATTTAGCAGCGTCCTGGATGTGTTTTGACAAGATTACTGTGTAAACTGGCTGTAGAATCGCTGGGAGGGGAATACGAGACCCAAATGTGGGGGAAGTGATGGTTTCACAGAGTATGAAGGGAACAAGCATGATTAATGCCATCTTCAAGAAGCCGTGTGTGTGTGTGTGTGTGTCTGCAGTGCTGTGTCTGCTTGATTGGAGCTAAAAAGGAAACTGGACAAATCATAGCCGGAGGGTTGCAGGACAAACGCAGTTAGAGGATGAAGGAGAACACTCCATTTGTCTGGGTGTTTGTATACTTGGACGCATCCTTGTATTACAGGGTGTATGACAGTGCATAGACGAATAAAAGAAATATGGATTTCAGCATATGTATGAATCTGTATTTACACTCAAACATGAGCAGAAACATAGTGTGACGGTGTATTTAACCACTGTCAGTCTGGGTATAGTTTTAAAATAATGAACAAATAGCTTCCTAGTTTCTACAGTGTAAACCGCACACTGTGACACCAAGGTGTTGCTTTTTGTCAAAAAAAATCTGTCTCAGTTTCTTTACTCCATGTAGGAGGTTTGAAGGGACGGATGATATAACAGCTGCCAGATAACATAACATCATCAGTGTTTAGAAAAAGAGAAACCTTGCTGTCACTTTCTAAATGCCATGCAGAGCAAGTGCTGCGTGGGCGAGGAAATAACAGTCCGAAATCTACTTTAACTTTTACTTTTGCTTGGTTAATGTTGAGTAACACACTCAGCCCAGAAACTTAAGCCTGTCCATGCATGTACTGTAGATTCAGGTCTATCTGGAGAATGATGAGTCATCTAATTTTTCTAATGACTTTGATTGTATTGCATTTTTAATGTGTTTCAGTAGTAGTACACTGTCACATAAGTCATAAAGATATGCCACATCCCATATGAAATAATTACTTGCTAATGTAAAATACCTACATTATAAGCCAATGTGTGCAGAGTTGTTCTGATTCAGACACTAGTATTAGAACTGCCCAACGTACTGGATCAGGAATGGGCGAGTTTAACAGGAGTATATGCACAGAGCCGATTCCACGTAATGTATTGATAAACTTTATAGTTTCACACCCAGTTAAAATAACTTCTTCACCACTCTAAAATAGTAACCTACACAGGAAATCGCCCTGTGCAGCCACTGGCAGCTGCTGTTATTGAGCGGTGAAGAAGAATTGATTTCTGGTAAACAGCGTAATGTTTGCCGTTGCCCGAGGTCACTAATAGGCAGACTGGTGTCTCAGTCCAGACGCAGATGCTGTCTTATCTGGATCTGGAGTGTTTCTGTTTTAACTGGCACAGCTTCTCCAGCCTTCATGGCACTGGTCATGTTTTGAATTCTTTTTCAATATGATGTATAAGTATGAAAAGACACAAAATGAAAACTGTAAGGAGACTGCTTGATTGTGAAAAGTGAATAATTTGAACAGCATTTGCATAGGAATGATTCATTCCCATTCCTTTTTCATCCATATAAGCAATAGATAACTGTAACCGTGATCATTATAATGGTTTGCACTGTAAACTCGAATATCTCAAAATGTGTGTGTTATTCTCTGCGCATGTTTGCCTTACACTCTGTGGTTTTTCTCGCAGGTATCTTGTGATGGAGCTGATGGATGCCAACCTCTGCCAGGTGATTCAGATGGAGCTGGACCACGAGAGGCTTTCCTACCTGCTCTACCAGATGCTGTGTGGAATCAAACACCTACACGCCGCAGGCATCATACACAGGGTGAGGCTCACTAATACACTGTAGTTATACCTGCAGAACAGTGGATCAAACCAGTTCTTACCAAAATCTAATTTGTTTTCCTTATGAGAGATGAGTTACATAACAACTTTTTGGTCGTGTGCAGACTTCCTATTGTCCCAGGAAGTCACTCCACCCAGCCAAGAAAACCACAAGCTGTTATTTTTACACATTGTCAAGACTGTTTTAATTATTGATTCATCTGTTCTTTTTTTTTTTTTCAATTAATCTATTAATTGTTGTGTCTGTACAATGCTAAAAAATTGTGAAAAATGCCTATTATAATTTCCCAGAGCCCAAGGTCGCATCTTCGTTTGTCTACTTTAGTTCAACCAACAGTCCGAAATCCAAAGATATTCAATTTACTATCGTGTGTCAAAGGGAAGCATCAAATCCTTAGATAGTAGAAGCTAGAAACAGCAAATATTTGATATTTTTGCTTAAGTTTTGCTATTGCTACATAGCCAACATTAGCCTTAACAGCTGTTTAGTTACCAGTTTTGCCAAGAGCCTTATTCAGGGCCAGCCTGGAAAGTCACGAGACAGGCTGAACCGGCTGGTGCTAGCTGGTTAGCATGGTAATTTCAGTAGAAGAAAAAGAAATGATTGGAACAGAAGCAAAGCAAGAGTTAACATTGGCGTTGGTTTCCACCGCTGGAGACAACTCTTGGCAATCGAAGGAATGAAGCTGCTAAACTCACAACATTTCTTCTCGACTGGTAAGTAAACAGCTGTTAATGCAACGTCGGCTATGTAGCAATAGCAAAACCCACAAATAGCTCCTTCAAAAATGACTAAAACGACACACATACACACACACACACACACACACACACACACACACACACACACACACACACACACACACACACACACACACACACTCACAGGTGCTCATATTCACCTTGAAACAGCAGACACAGTATGACACACAGACCCTGAAGCACCAGCAGCAATATACAAAGAATCCCTCTTGTACTACACAGACACACACACACACACACACACACAGAGTCACTAACACACACACTGTCAATCACCCTCAGTGAAAGAAGCAGCAGTAGATTAGCGGAGCTCCTCTTGCTCTGCCAGGCAGAACTAATTTAGCCACAGGCGGAGCTAACCAGCCTCGCTCGCTTTGGCACGGCTCGGCACGCAAAGCTCTCATAAGGTGAACAGATGCAATATGAGTCATGGTTGCCAAAGATTCAGCTCTCTTGTTTTTGTTCCCATTGTCTCTGTGACGAAAAGCTCTCTGGTCCTCTTTAAGACGCTCACAACTGCGAAGCACTCGCTCTAGAATAAATCCTCCTACCCATCCAGGTAGTCGAGCACAGTCAACTGTACAGTAGTTTGATAGTCTCATTGTCAGGAAGTGATGGCACCAATTATGATGATGAGGATTTGTACCTCAAATGCATTGACGTTTTACAGAATGAGTGTATTGTTCGCTAGTGAGCAGCCACCTTGACGCTTCTGGCCACTTCGATGGGAGCTGCTGTAATAGTCATTATAGTATTCTCCAGTGTAATTGTGGCTATGCAAATCACGCCGAATAGTAATTAGCCAAACCTGTCATTGCTGGCGAATTAATTGTGGAAATAAATCAACTGGCAGATAGTCATTTGTAGATTATAACCACAGGCGATGAGTATTGTTTATGACAGGATGTGTTTGTTAGTTTGTCAGCATCATAGCTCCATACATGTAAACCCTGTTAGCTGCTACATATTCAGTCAAACCAGGTGAAAGAAATTTATGCAGTTGGTACAAAAAAAAAAAAAAAAAAAAAAAAACACAACCCAAGCTCAAGTGTCATCTCAGTCTAAATCACAACTCTGTGTTGTGTTTTCCGTCCAGGACCTGAAGCCCAGTAACATCGTGGTGAAGTCTGACTGTACTCTAAAGATCCTGGACTTTGGCCTGGCCAGGACAGCCGCCACCGGCCTCCTCATGACGCCTTATGTGGTCACCCGCTACTACCGCGCCCCTGAAGTCATCCTGGGCATGGGCTACCAGGCCAATGGTGAGTGGAAGAAGTGGCTTCTTGACAGCGACTGGCCAATGAGGAGCTGCTGCCTGGCCTGCTGCATGGCCCTCCCCTTTTTGAGATGTTTCAACAGCACCTCCCAAACACACTCTCTTTCCCACACACACACACACACACACACACACACACACACATACACACACTCTCCCTGTTCCTGTAAAGGTCGCACTCGGGGGAAGCTGGCATGTCGGGCATCAGTGCTTTGTGGGAAACTTCTTGTCAAGGGACTCAGTGCTTTAGCATGTGTTTGATGTTTTATTATGAGGTTGCCTGTCCTGAGCTCGTTACAGCCCGGCTGAAAAAACAAAAAAAAACGCCAGTGTGGACACAGGCACTTGTGCATGTTTCAACAGTTTCACTTAGCGCTCCAGCTTGGAACATATCACAGTTTATGCAAGACGGTCTTAAAGGGATAGTTCAGCATTTTGGGAATTATGCTTATTCACTGAGTGTTAGATGGGAAGATGGATTCCACTCTCACATCTGTCTGATAGAAGCCACAGCCAGGATATAGTTAGCTTAGTATAAAGACATGTAGCATAGGGAGACAGGCTAGCTGTTTCCTCCTGTTTCCAGTCTTTATGCTAAGGTGAGCTAACCATTTCCTGGCTGTAGCTTTGTCTTTAGTGCACTGACTTGAGAGTGGTATCAATGCACCCATGTAATCCTCGACAAGGAAGCTAACAAGCGTATTTCCCGAAATATTTAACTATTCTTTTGATAGAAACGTGACTGGGGTTCCAGTTGCTTAGCAAATTATCAGACTTTCAGGTATTAAGTTCAGATGCATAATAGCTACTTAAGCAAATCTCAATTTTTAGATAAAGATTTCTCCTTAGCACAGGCATCATGTGGTGAATTTTAAACACTAATGCTTTCTCATCCTTAGTCCTTTTGACCAAAAGCATTGACACTAATTTTTCCTGCTGACTTGTTGCATTTTTTTGCTTATTCTCTTCTCCCTCCTTTTATGCTGCGCATATTTAGTGGATATTTGGGCTGTGGGCTGCATTATGGCAGAAATGGTTCGCCACAAAATCCTTTTTCCAGGAAGGGATTGTATCCTTGAGCTGCTTGCAGCAGTGTCTGGCACACAACAAACAGCACAAAAAAAGTCTCTTCATACTCATTATTTTTCATCAAATGGATCGCACGGAGATCACATCCTGTGAGCAACTATAGAAATTCTATTTCTTGGATTTGCCTGACACCTCAGCTTGCATCCACCCACCTGCTCTCCGAACAGATACACAACCTCACATGGCTCCCTCCTCACTCACCTAAGCAGCAGCACTGTTGCTTCATGCTCTGTGACAGTCACATGAAAAACCCGAAATAGAATTTAATAGTTTGCTCTTCCATAACAGAGAACTGAACTGCAAAAAAAAATACCCTCTTCTATCCTGAAGCTGCTTTCTATATGTCTTTGTAGATACCATGGCAGCAGTCTCACAAAAAGATCAATTGCTGGGTTTTTATATAGAATATAATACTGAATAATTTGGTGCCAAACATTTGTGATGCTCTCAGTCTGAAATGTCACTCACTTGGGTGTGACAGTAAAGCTCAAAAATAATTATTCCTGCTATTATTAATCAGAATATTCCAGTTTAAACATAAGACATGCAGTGAGGACACAGAGGGTGTTAAAATGCAATTCAGAGGACCTTGAAAGTTAGAGTCTCACGATTCTAAACTAATGATTCACTGCACCTGAAGTACAAGGAATATTAAACGTTTCTTCTGAATAGTAATATTGCTGTTCCTACAGAAATATGCAGTTAATGCAGTTAATGCCAGCCAAAAAGAATAATAACTTTCCTTTAGCCTTGTGGGACGCTGACCCAGGTTTGAGAGTGCACTCAGCTGCATGCAATTAATTTTTGTCACAAATCACACACATCACCTGGCATGTACATCATGTTTTTTTTTTAATTTTATTTTACCCCTCTGTTCTTTTGATTTATGTTTGTTTTTTTGGTTTGTTTTTTTCCGTCCTGCATGCTAATTCGGTGGTTGTCATTTCATTTTTCAGTTGATGTCTGGTCTGTTGGCTGCATCATGGCTGAAATGGTCCGGGGTAGTGTGTTGTTTCCAGGCACTGATCGTATCCTTGAGTTGAACTTCCATCCAAACCCCAAAAATCCTGTGTCATCCTTTGTCTGACATCTTGTTCATATCTTTGCACACAACGGGAGGCCAGAAGTCATTTGCAGCTAAAATGAAATATAAAAACTATTACTAGCAATATTGTTGTCACCACTGCTGTTCCTGTTATTATAATTATTGAGAGAAAACTTTCCAAGCAGCTGTAGGCGTTTAATGAGCGATGACGTAATCGTCTTTCTCTTAGTAACTGAGTGGAGGAGAATACAACCGTTTCATGGCAGAAGTTTTGACTCCTTGTAGCAAGTAAAGCACAGGTGTAATTAATAACACCAGTGATGCCTCCGCTCCATTTAATTGACCCAGTAAGCTACACCCGTTAGCTAACCAAGCCGAATAGTAAAGACTGAAACTGGTAAACCTACATCATTATCCTTGGTGATAGTGAAGTAGCTACAGTTGGCTTGTTAATTAATGACTTAATTAGCATAGCATGCAGAGCATTAAGGATTCATTTGTTCTTGCTAATAGTGCAGTGTAACTGTTAGCACTGAAACCTTGTGGTGTATGTAAATATTTGGGAAACTTTTTGTGCCCTATTACTGATTTATCACTTTTTCCTATGAAGATAATAGTTGTTGCTATGATATGCTAATGATTAACTAAAGGTTGATATAGCATCAGCTTGATAATTGAAGCTGTGTATTGGGCGTTCCACTTTGTTTGTTGTGTTAAGTGCTCAACAAAGAGAGGTTACGTTGACAGAGGGCACCTAAAAAATTAAGAAAGAAAAATACTTTGCATTAGCAAGGCTAATTAAACACAGGCTAGCTAACAGCTTAAGCTAACATTCACTCTAACTAAGTGGTTTGGAAAACATAAGTATAGACAAAGCCTGTATTTGACTACTATTCTATCATGAAAATATTCATGTCATGTTATTGTATAATTAATTTTTAGTATAACCGGTCAACATAGCTTTAAACAGCTAATCAGGCTACTCCTAGCCTAACAATCAGACTTAACTGCCATTTTGTTTCTCCTCGTTATTCAGTCTGTCAGCTGTTTTCTGTTATGGAGGTTTTTCTTCCCCTAAACAATTAGTGGTGAATGACTAATCTTTCCTACAGATGTAATTTTCAGTTGACACGGAAACTGTGGTAGTGATGATAGGAGCGGTTAGCTTAATGTCTTTCAGGACGATCAATGAAATATGCCAATTTAAGAGTCGTTATGTCCGTCAGTCAACTTACAACAACCTGAATAGCTGCTGCCTTTTTGTGACAGTTCTTGTGTTCTAGCTCTGACACAGAGAAGGTAATCCCACCTACAAAGTTCCTACCGGCTCTGCTATTTTTCCACCCAGGCTAGGCTTCTCCTTGTTGTTCCTTCATCGTTAAGGATGAACAAAGATGTGAACAAGAATTTCTGTGTGTCCTACAGGTAGATCTGTACATGTTACATCTCTATGTATGTGTGTGTGTTATTGTCGCAGAAAAAAAGTTGCACACATATTTCCAGCATCTGGACTGGACTATCTAAGGTGAGCGTCACCTGCCTCACCCAACATAGAGTATTTTACAGTACAGATGTTTGAAATAATTTTTGCAACACAGTTCATAGTGTATGTCCTTTTCCTAAAACTGCCAGCAGATGTAAACACATCACTCTCCAGACAGCCTTTCATAGCTGTTTGTGTTGAGAAATTTCCCCAAGTTTATCCAATGACACAGCGTATAATCTTAATCCATCACTTTACAGCAGGGGATATTATCTGCTGTGGGTTTCCTGCGTCCTGTGCCAAATAACAGATTTGACATTTTCTTTTCAGCACAATTACAGTTACACAAGTGTTTTAGGAACAAGTCGGAGCAATGCTGTACAAAACATAGCCACTCCAGATAGTTCTCTTTTTTATTATTCATCAGTTCAGAATATTCCTCAAAATGAGCCAGACCAACTCTGGAGTGGGCGCTCCTTTTGTCCAAACCCAGCCTAGGGCTTTTCTTAATACTTTAACCATAAGATATCGACCAGTGGAATAAGGTCATCGAACAGCTGGGGACGCCATCCCAGGAGTTCCTGATGAAACTCAACCAGTCAGTGAGGACTTACGTGGAGAACCGGCCACGGTATGCTGGCTACAGCTTCGAGAAGCTCTTCCCCGACGTCCTGTTTCCTGCAGACTCTGAACACAACAAACTGAAAGGTAAAGAGAGCGCAGTTTCTCTCAATGCCCATGTCATGCATGTAAATTGTTTTTTAAAGGCTTGCTGAAGCACAAGAAAATTGGTTTCAAGGTCATAAATGTATTTCCTGCTAAGAGTTAAAACCATTTTGGTGCATAGTCGCTCTATTACAGGTGCAGCGATTGTCCAGCCTGAAGGGGAACCATTTGGAAAATTCAAATTGCTGTTTTATCGCACCAGTACCAGAAGGTGACGGTAATAATGAGGCAATCAGTGTTTGGAGAGCCATGAGTTTAATGCCACAGTGAGCTTCAATTTTGCTGCTTGAAATTTGAATAAAAGACTATTTTGAAGCTCTTTTTTGGCTAAGGTAGAATTTACCATGCGTGATTTTTGGATTTGGATTTTTGGAACCAACCACTTATAAAGCAGGAATATAAACTCTTTCTCCATATAGCATCAGTTTATGTTTGTTTATGTTGGACCATGTGTTTACAATGTTAATAACATCTGCTGACAGCAAAGCTCGAGTGACGGATGCATTTTCAGTGGCTGCCTAAGATTAAGCACTTATTACGGAAGCTGACAGCTCAGGAGCAAGTTGTTTACTGTGAAGAGGAATTTACCTCAAGCGTGTCTTCATGTGTAAATGGAGAGAAGATGACAGGAACACTCACAGCAAACGCCCGCCGAGCTGCTGCAGTGTGTTGCGAGGAAAAAAGTAGCTCATCCTTCTCTGCCCTCATTAATTTACACAGGCAGGAATATTTGACAACAGTGTATTTCCCCTGAAGAAGTCTGGTTTAACTGCATGTATTGGAGCTTTGATAGTCCACACTGGCACAAGGCTTTCAGACAGAACTTGTGATAATCAAGGTGGAAGTTCTTGACAAACCAAAATACAGACACAAAACGATCTTTCTGGTGAAAATGTAAGAGTTAAAGGAGTTTTTAACCACTAGCAGCACTATAGTGTAGTTTTTCTTTATGACTGGGTCCCCGTTGTATTTGTATCATGCATGACGGGCGCACATAAAGTGTTTTAGTGGTAAACGTAACTTTGTTTGTTTACAAGAAATTCCACAGGGCACCTTTTGTATAAGCCTTTACTGTCTGGAAACCTTAACTGGTGCACATAAGTTCCAACCAATGAAACTATTATTTTACCACATTCTATGAAATTAAACTGTTTCCTCCCTCAGAGATGCTCAATTAATTTACACCTCCGAACGGCCTGCCCCTGTACTGTTCCCTGCACCAACATCCTGTTTCAACAGGAAATGTGTCACATTAACGAAGCCAGTCACTCCCAACTGGAACAAATTGCAGAATGGAAATCTGTTTTGTTTGGCTAAACAGTCACTATTTTTATCTTATTTTCTTCCACAATTTTCTTTTCAGCGAGCCAAGCCCGAGACCTACTATCCAAGATGCTGGTGATCGATGCGTCAAAACGGATCTCAGTGGATGAGGCTCTCCAGCACCCGTATATCAATGTGTGGTATGACCCCACTGAAGTGGAGGCGGTAAGCACTAGTATTTTAATTACTAGTATGTTAAATTTATGCTCAAAAATTGAGCTAATTGGCATTCGCATGACTGTTTGACCTAGAGCTGCAACGATTTGTCGATTGATCAATTAGTAGATTGACAGAAGATTAATTAGCAACTGTATTTTGTGGTTCCATCTGCTCTCCTGCAAATGTTTTCTAGTCTTCTCTGATTAAACCAAATATCATCACCTTGGGTTTTGGGAATCTGTGATGGGCATTTTTCACCTTTTTCTGGCAATGATTAATAAATCAAGAAAATAGTAGGCAGGTTAATCAATAGTGGATGAAGTTGCAGCCCTGGTTCGATCAGATTTAAACGACATTTGCCTTGTAACAAAAGCAAATCCTCAACTGTCATTAGATTTTCATTCAAATGTTGCTTTGTTCATCACACTTTTGTCTTTTCTAACAACATAAGTAGAGAGTAAAGCAATGTTGCTCACCCTCTGAATCCCTTTATCTCAGAAATAAAAGCTCAATTTTAGGTCTGAAGACTAGAAACTCTTCCCTCTAAAAATGTTGTCTGCATACAAAATGTGTGTTTGTGCTGGGATGTCCACACCCCTCAGAAACTCTGAGAAAATGTTTCCAAAGTTGAGACTTCATGTCTGGTGACAATCCCTTGTGCTCTCCTTGGAAACACAATGACTCAGCCAGTGAAAATTGATTTTGCCTGTGATCAGGCGGATTGGGAGATGAAGTGAATTGTTGCTTTCTTTCCTCCGCTGTCCTCTGTGGCATGAAAGGATTCCTCTGAACTGACAGTTCAGCCTTGAAAAGTGCAGATTTGTATAGAGTTCACTCTGACACTGCACAAATACATCAAATCTCAGTTTGACTCTGGGGAGGACGGATAACTCCATCTCACGGCTGGCTTTGGCGTAGTTTATCCAAACTCTGTCAGTGCTGCTATAAATTTGAATTTAGGAGTTTGTGGTATTTTGCTGGAAAGGTTTGTGCACACCAAAGCAGAAAAAGAATCTGCATAAAATGGGTTTAATGTGAGGAAGATTTAATGCAGCGGTTTTCTATCTCGTGCCGTCATTAGCTGAGTCTGGAGGTTTTCAGTTCGAGCTGGAAGCTGCAGCAGCTGAGTTTCTCTTCTCTAGTTCAAGTGCTGCTCATCACAGTATCCAGCTGCTGTGATGTTTGCCTGGAATGAAAACTGAGGCTCACCGTGGTGATTGAAAAGTTCAGGTGTGGTAGTTGGGCAGAATGATAAACTGCCAGTGTCAGTGATTGAAAAGAGAAGCAGATGATGGAAACAGTTCGATCAGTTAAATAGTCTTATAACTTGAATCACATGAGTTTGATCCCAATTAACAGCCAGTGTTGGTTGGGTAAAAATAATTAGTTGGTTAATCAATTAGTTCATCGGCAGAAAATGAATCGGCTAACACTTTGATTATCGAATAATCGTTTTAGTCATTTTCAAATCCAAATCCATGCCAAATATTTGCTGACTCCAGCTTTTTAAAAGGGATGCTCGTCCTTTTCGTACGTGATGTTAAACTGAATCATTTTGGGGCTTTTGCCTGTTGGTCGGACAAAACAAGACGTCGCCTAATGAGCAGATTAATCGATAATGAAAATGGTCACAGCGCGAGTAAATACATTGAGGCAAGAAGGCAAAAGACAAAAAATAATAATTCAATGTTGCACACACACAAGTAAAAGTTACTATTCTCAGGAGGAATGTAATTTTATTATTTAAGGATTGTTATTTTGATCTGACCGCGTCTGTGATGTTTGTGGGCTTCGTGTTTAGAATGAACATCTGGTAAGAGGACTGAAATATTGAAAACATGTGTCCGTCTGTCTTTCTGCAGCCACCACCAGTGATCACAGACAAGCAGCTGGACGAGAGAGAGCACACAGTGGAGGAGTGGAAAGGTAGGAAAGATCCTCCGTTTCTCCTCTCCTCTCCTCTCCTCTTTGATAAACTGTCATAAGTGCTTAGCTTTTTGCAGTGTGTTGCATAAGGTCGGTCTGGCTTCGTGCTTTTGCAGCCTGTGGGATGTTTAATCTTCATTCTCAAACTGAGGTGAATGTTCCTCTGCATAATCTGTCTGAGTTAGTAAATGTACAAATGAACTGTACATCTCCTCTTGGTTTCCTGTTTTCACTGCCTGAAACACATATATTTAATTACAGATTATCTGCAGCCAAATCTTTGCTTGTGTAAAATTGTATTTTACACTGTAACGTATCAATTACTGGTATTTTCATATAAATAAAGTATCAGGCTGTGATGAAATAGAAGCGTAGATTGCATATTTAAAGTCAGTAAAACACAAAAGTGACCCAGTTTACCTATGTTCCTCCACTGGAAGAAAACTGATGAAACTGAAGAGATGACTTTACGATGTAAGTCAGTCAAAGGAAAGGTCAGAATTATAGACTTATACCCAAGACTTGAATTCAAATGACTGGTGAAACTTTGGAGGAGTAGGTGCTTCCTCTGTCTAGATGCTCTTTTCAGTGCTGCCAGATTGATAATGACAGCAGGAGATTCACACCTGGGGTGTGACAGGTTGGTGTTTCCCATGTCTGTCTCCTTGGAATTAGTTTATCCCGTAAAAAATTGGTATGTGTTCACTTTGCCAGGCGAAAGTAAAACTGCTCAACATTAATATTAAAATAGAACCAGATCACACGGTTATGTAATCCAGAAAACCCGTAAGGGGAAATCTGTGAACTGGAAACAGCTTGCTCATATTTACCTGCCTCTAGTTAGTCTGCAATTGTTCACACCAAAACCCAGAGACGAGATGTGAAAAACATCTTGTCTTCGTTAGCACAGCTTTCATGGGACAAACTGCTGTTTAGGACTTAAAAATGAGATATAGCATACACACGTTTTCTCACCTCCTCACTGAACTTAATGATTGTACTTTGTTTGTTGCAGAATTGATATATAAAGAAGTGTTGGACTGGGAAGAAAGGACAAAGAACGGCGTCATCAGGGGACAACCAGCGTCCATAGGTTAGTGGAGTTTCTTGTGTGTTTGAGTCTGTGTGTTTGAGTGTGTGCTCGTGAGCCTGTTTCAAGTGAGCTTTTACCTCCCAGAGATGGGAAATGGATCAGGATTGTGCTGCTCAGCATGCCTGTGCACATAGACTCACACAGCACTTTATTAAAAAAGCCCCACGCTAACACAGCGCAGGGCCTCCTTTACTCTCCAAACAGCCTCAGTTGTTGGTCTCTCAGCTGCTCAGTTCGTGGCGCGGATTCCACAAGCTGTTAGAAACTTTCCTTTCAGATTCTGCTCCATGCTGACATGATTGCATCACATCGTTTCTGCAGATTTTTGTCTGCTGCACGTTCACGCTGTGATTCTCCCTCTACCACATTGCAAAAGGGGTTCTACTGGATTCAGATGTGTTGACCGGGGAGGAGGTCACTGAAGTTCACTGAAACTCACCGTCATGTTCATGAAGCCAGTGTGAGACTTTAGCTCTGTGACATGGAGCGTTGTCCTGCTGGAAGTTTACCATGATGGTAAATCATGGCCATAAAGGGATGCACATGGTCAGCAACATTACTCAGACTGTGGCATGCAAACCATGATTGATTGATATTAAGGGGCCAAAGTGTGTCAAAAAAACATTCCTCACAGCATTACAGCATTACACCACCGCCGCCACCTCCGGTCTGGACTGTCGACACAAGGCAGGTTGGGTCCATGGATTCATGCGGTTGAAGCCAAATTCTGACCCTACCATCTGCTGCCTCAGCAGAACTCCAGATTCATCCGACCAGGCTACGTTTTTCAGTCTTCAGCTGTCCTGTTTTTGGCCTGTGCTCACCGCAGCCTCAGATTTCTGTTCATGGTTGACAGGAGTGAAGCCTGACGTGGTCTTCCATAGCGTCTGGCCATTCTCCTCTGACCAACAACGCGGCCTTTCTGTCTGCAGAAATGATGCTTACCGAAGATCAGCAGTTTCACAAATACTCGAACACGCCACCAACAATAACGCCACGTTCAAAGCCACTTCTTTTCTGTGAACATATGATATCGTGAAGCAGTAACATTAATACACAAATGAGCTCATTATTTGGCCCATCTAGAATTAATATTAGTTTTCATTGTCCAAAGACAAGCAGGTCATAAGTTTTACATAAATCACTTCTAAACACAAGTTAGTGACTCGCTGATACTGATGTTAATGCTCTAGTAGGAGTTCACATGTAGATTCTGTGTTCAGAGGCACAAAGCCAGCTGGACGTTTGTCAGGCAGAAAAACAGCAGAGAAAGGGGCTGAAAAGTTTATCATGGAACTGTTCAGCAAACATTTTATCTTCTTTCTTTGTCATTGATCAACAATAAACTTTACAATGTTAGATTAGACTGTGAAAGTTGGCGCAGATGTCTTTGAATACCGTGTGAAAGAGCTCCATCTCACCAGCATTGCCCCAGACTTTTTTTTTTGTTTTAGCTCAACTACAGCTACACAATAGCATTCGATGGCTGACCACAGGCTTTCTCCTGTTCCTCACAGCACAGGTGCAACAGTGAGCAGCAGCCCCGACCAGCACCACCAGCACCACCCCTCCACGTCCTCCTCCGCCTCCATGTCCACCGACCCGACCCTGACCGACACCGACAGCAGCCTGGAGACAGCCAGCACCGCCGCTGTCGCCACCGCCGCTGCTACTACCGCTGGCCCCCTGGGCTGCTGCAGATGACTATCATCTACTCCTCCTGATCCTGGTCCTGGTCCTGGTCCTGGGCTGGGCTGGGCTGGGCTGGGCTGGGCCACTCTCCCTGGTCACCTTTGAGACCACCAGCCTGACACTGGCTCTTGGCCCCGCCCCCTGCATCTGCCTCCTCCCACCTCCTCTATGTGCTTGTCTTCAGTAGTTTAGCGATTAGCCAGCTAGCTGTTTGAGAAATATTTCTGAAAGGACAGATCTTTTTTCCTTTTTTTATGACAGTAATAGTCTTTTTTTTTTTTTTTTTAAATTAGGATTTATTTTCATTTGAGTCCTAGCTGTAATTTATTGTGGCATTTCTTAATTTTTCAGAAACCTAAGATGACGATAAGAGAATTTTTATGATTTCACTATGTTCCGGTTTGTATTAACCGACAGTGAGAATTTAAAGAAATATCTGTAAAATGTTTAATGTGATCTATTTTTCTGTTGAAAGTCATTTGTTTTCACTCGCTTTTACAACTTGCCATATAAATATAGTTTGTACAGATTTTATGGTAGATGTAGTTTTATCTTCGATATGAGTTTGCAGTGAGCCATTGAAACATAATTTAATTGACAAATGTACGGTCTTAGTACTCCCCTTACCTGTTTTATCTCTCACCATATGGATATTGTTTTAAATTCACATGACATATCCATTTATTTCAACCGAGGTCATTTTTAGATGCGTTTGTAAAAAGATTTTTTTCTTGTGAGTCACTACTACAGCCTACATTGTAAATTTCAACCTAATGAGAGCTTTATAATTTTTCTTCACTTCCTGTTCAGTCAAAACTACAAAATAGTGAGATTCACTTTCACCATATGATTTATTTTATGATCTACAATTAAGCTATGGGATTGATAACGGCACAGTGACATCCCGCAGGATAACTCGGAGCATTTTGAAGACTGTCTTGTGTATTTTTAAGTGCTTTAAAGTACCTCTTCTCTTGTCTGCAACAGGCAGCTTGACATTATGGAACTCGAGCGGTGGTATTGCTTTGGAGGACTGAATGCAGAGCTGTTTTACGTTCTCCTCTGGCTTGCTTTGACAGTGAGGTATTGTTAACAGTTCAGGACTTTTAGAATGTTTTTCGTCGTGGTTAGGAAAGGTTTGTCGAGACGTAGAGTTGCGTGAGGTTGTAAAATCGGTGACGGTGTAAGTAGAATGTGCTTCAGTCAAGTAGGGAATTGTGATATTGAGAACGCGAGTGATGAACGTGTTGATGTTCAGTGTCTTGGAGGGATAATGATTCGGAAACCTGATGGAACCGTGTGAGAAAATGTCTGCTTCCTACTACCAGATCCTGTTATTAGTAATGTACTGTACTGAATTTGGAAATTTTAAAGTGAATTTTCTTTTTTCTCTTTTTTTCTTTTTTTTTATTTTCTCTAAAAATTGGCCAAACACTTTGCGTACCGGACTTGCCTACAATTGTGAATAAAAGAACCTAACACTTAGCATGTTAAACAGCAGCACAAACAAGCCGAGTAAAATGAAACAAATTATTCTACTGTATGCAATAATAGTGCCCTTTTTAAGTGATTTTGATTTATTTTGAAAGGAAAAGTGCCTGTTGTTTGTCATTCATTCCTGAGTACATGGGAGGAAGTGTATTCGTTATGTGTAGGTTTTAACGGCGTCTGGATAACAGCAGTAGTGTCCACATCAAACCAATAATGTATGATGGGGTTGTAGTTCTCACAAATGTATTGTATATTTTTCTACTTGTTTTGATTTTGACCCTTGGGCGGGAGACTGTGGTGTCTTGCAGGGTAAGAAGGTGATGATGTATGCAGCGAGATGTTTAGGCATGTGTTTGAGTCATTTCAGAAGAAGAGGCAGTTTTATCAAGGTCTTTCATCAAAGTAAAAAGAAGTATTTCTTTGCAGTGACAGCAACCGAAGTATAGGTTAATAACAGTTTTTTGGCTTTTTTTGAGTACTAATCCAATGTGATGATTGTAAGTGAGAAAAACGAACTGAAAAGTTAAAGTTTTAAGTGAGTAAGTTCAACTACTGGAGCAAACTAAACGAATGAACTCTGCATTATCGTCAGTATTTTGCAAATGGTTTTGGATAATGTTTGTGGCAGATTGATGCACAAACACATTTCTGAGAGGCAGAGCCAAACAACCACAGCGTTTCTGGCTAATTCATTTTTAAATTAGAAACTGAAAAGTTTCAACTAGCTGTATTAGCTCAAATCTATCGAGGCAAGTTGCTTGTTGACCTTTTGAAGATCATGAACATCATGGTCAGAAATTAATAAAAACAAAGGAGTTTTCCGTTGTAGCTTTTTGCGCCATCTGTTGAGGTTTCAAGCAGCCGTTCTGCCTGCTAGAAATGTTTGCATGATTTTCTGCAAGAGGCAAGAGTCTGGATGGGTTGTACTCTGTCATGGATCACGAGCAAGTGTTGTGGGTGTTGGCAGAAACGGCACTGGGACATTTATCTAGTACGCTCAAAGCAAAGTGGCAAAAAAAAAGGTTGTCTTTAGACTGTAGCATGCGCCGTAGCTCTGTGCTGCGCTCTGCTTAGGCACCTTGTTATTGTCTGCCAACTATGTATGGCTGAACACTGACATAACCATTCATTTAACGGCATGATTTCTCAAATACTGTCACACTATGGCTCATTCTCTGTTTCAGTCCGAAACGGCTATTCGTAAATCCATTACCAAGTGTGTGTGTCCTTCCTAAGTTCTTAGCAACAACTTGCTAGTTTCAAACTAGTGATTTACAAAACCGGGTTGCACCATTAAAACTCAAAGAATGTCTTTTGTTTGTAAAAGCCGGAGCAATGAGTAAACTGGCTGCCGAAATGATCTGTAGCACTGTCAAAACAAAATCTAAACTGGAAGTGTAGCGTCACAAGCTGTAACATAATGATAATGTTTATCTTAGAATAAGTGGGAAATATAGCTTTAACCTAATTTGTTTAATTTAGTGAGTCTAAAATTATTTGCGTTATGTTTTGTAATTTGATTTGAGTTATTTTTGTGAAATTTATTTCAAATTTCAAAAACTTCCCAGTTTACATTCATATTTAACAGCATTTCCAGTGCCGGCAGGAGCGTCGATCATATTGCATTACCTCTTTTTCTTTTCATTGTTAATGGGTAACAACGTAAACAAACGTTAGCTTAGTCACTGAGCTACTCAAGAATTAATATTTAATATATTGGCAAGCTAATGTTAGCCTTGTCAGTTAAAGTAGCTACATAACAGGTAATATTTAATACGTTAGCAAGCTAATGTTAGCTTTGACATTTAGCTACACAACAGTTAACCTGGCAGTTGGGTGTAAATATTTGGTAACAACTCTACATAAAAGCTAGTTTATGTGGTGCAACCCATTTTAATTTTGTGATGCGTAAATCTCTCACTTTTCGAAACACAATATATGCTACAACTAGGCTAAGTTTGAACTTACGAACAGCTGGTGCAACAGCTCCTGCTCTCTTTTCAGCAGAATGGAAAAGAATAGTTATTGACCATCAAGGGTTTGCTAGCGAGGTACAGTATATATACAGCAGCAAAGCCTTATTAGTACAGGGCAACACTTAATTCAGTCTTATTGAAGATTACAAGAGCAAAAAATGAAACTGTCCAGTCGTAAATGTGCAGCAGTGTTTTGACAGACATGGAGTAAAAAAACAAGGACTTAAACAGTGTCACATCAGCAAGAAGGCAGCAATAGCAGGGAGAAAAAGTGACATGTATCCATTTGTCATATTAGTCCATTTGTCGAATTAGCTAAAAAGAATCAATCAGAAAAAACACTTTGTTGTCGAAAGTGCTCTTAATTTTCTTGCCCAACATTAGGGGCTTTAATTTGAGGGGTTTTTTTTGTTTTTGTTTTGTTTTTCTTCTTTTTCTTCTTAGGTTGTTGTTGCTTTTTTTTTTTAATTATTACTGCATCTCTCCAAACTATGTCATTCTGATTTAAGTCGGCTTTGATGAACTACCTCACGCTGAATTTCTGCCAGTTCTTGCATATATTTAGTCGCCTGCAGAATTAGCTATTGAAGACGTGTGAATAACAGATTCCATTATTTATTTATTTGAAAGTGTACTATTTGTCGGTTTCAACAGACTTCTAGTTTTGTACATTATGTATACTTCACCTAGAAGTAAGAGAATTGTTATATGTATTTTTTGTTCTTTTGTTTTTTTTGTTTGTTTTTTTGTTTTTAAACTAAATGTGCAATACCTTCAGAAAACTGTGCTAGTAGTATGTGATGGGCCTAGCCTTTGTTAGCTGTCTCCTGAAGGTAAAGAAAATGTTTGGTACTGTCAATCCATGTTTTCCTTTTTTATGAATAAGATCAATTTTTATTTCTGTGACTTGTTTATAGTCATAATGTTACGTAATCAGTCTTACCCACCAAACAAATCTGTCAGCCAGGGTTTGATTTAGAGACAGGAAGCTCTTTTAAGTCACAAGATGGCAGACAGATTTTAATTTGGGACGTGGTAAGGACAATAATGTTAATAAACACAAAAAAGATCATTATAAATCATTATATGTATGGTGCTGGTTTGTAATGTTTGCTAGTGAATCCAGCCATGCAAGTAGTTTTAAGAATTCCTGGATCTACGCGTCCCAAAAACCGCAACCAACAAAGAAGTGCACTACTAGAATACACGCACTGGGATCTGATGATGCCACCTCTTAAAAAAATATTAAAAAATAAAAAAACATGTACTGCAAATAAAAGAAAATACACTTTGATTTGTGGTTGTATGTCTTCTTCTTTCTGTCATGACAAGTTGCCAAACATTTCTTGCTGTGTACACAGGACAATAAATGTATATATGAATATAATACTTCTTTAATGTGATATACAACCCAGACTGTAAGTATTTGGGCAGTTACACATTTTTGTTCTTTAATTGCAGTGGGGTCACATCAATATAGAAAGAACTGCGTGGGTGATACAGCCATTTTAATGCAAAGAGACCAGAGACACATCACTTCATGGACAATCGCTCTTTGACCTACAGACATCATAAGATGCTGTGTATCTTCCCTGGTGATTCTCTCCTCCTGCAGCTCGCGCCTTTAGTGTGGTTTCAGATTGAGATCAGGTGACCTCAATGGCATTTAAAGGCATTTAAATTAATACTATAATTAATTTTGGTCGCTGTTTTTTTTTTTTTTTTTCCTGCAATGCGTTACGGTTTTTCCCACTAGATGGCGCCCTGCAAATACACCCGGCCTTTTCT